TGTGACACGGTCAAAATGGCGGTGGTGGCCACCTCCCATTATAGACAACAAACGTGTTATTGAAGCCAATGGAATCCGTTTGTCCAGTATGTACAGTCTATGGATGTAATTCATTTAGGAATAAATGTTGTACTTTTAAATCTGTGATGCCCTCTTTTGTTTTTTCAGGGCCCCTGAACTCTTAATCGGACTCCCTTTTTCTGAGGCCTTGGACATCTGGTCTCTAGGCTGTGTGATGTCAGAGATGGTGTTCAAGTTCAAACTCTTCCCAGGGGCAGATGAAGAGGAAGTTGTTAGTAATTCAGTATAAGTAGAAATGAAAACGCCTGTCGCATGTTTTTGTACTGTGGTTGCAGCCATTTGTGCTATTTAATTTGACTTCTGTGTCTTTTTCTACATAACTCTTTGTCACTAACATAATTTAGAAAAAAACTCTCACTTTTAGTCACCCGAAAGTGACCGGTCCTGATGTAAGCCTGTTTTGTGTTTCTTTTTTTCAGCTCTACTATATGATGAGCCATCTTGGATCTCCACCAGATGACCTTCTTAGGACAGGCTATAACACGGAAAATTTATTTTACAAGACTAACAATCAATGGCTTCCAAAGGTACAGTAAGCTTGATCGGGGGCATCTTTATAATCCCAAAATGCTACTTTACTTATTTTCTGGGTTTGAAAACACATTTCAAGGAACATGTCATAAACACAAGAAAACAAGTAAAAAAAATGTTTTGTTTATTTCACTTAAAACACATCAAGTTGTCATGTATATCTTTTAAAGAGAGTTTCTGAAAAAAGTACAGTTTTAATGATTATTTTTGATTATAATTGGTTACTCTGAGTTTTTCGTGCAGGCTGAACATGAAAATACTCTCCTACACCTATCTCCTGCATTAGCTTCTGACAGTGAAAATCTACAATTATAAAAGCCTGACAGATCCGTCACAACATTCATGGACTCACCCATCGACTCTGTTGTTAGTTTAGCATCCAGGAACCAGCAGAGAAGGTCTCGGATAGTAGAAGCTAACCGTTAACATTAGCAATTCCATCACACAGCAGAACTCCTTCAGGCTTGAGTTATTTGTGGAGATAAAACATCAATGTTTTAAGTCAGTGGTAGTCTCGTTGCTGTTCTCAGATCCGAGGCGAGATGTCCAAATATCAGAAAATAAGACTCCAAAACCTGTTGTCTAACTTTCTCCTCAGACTGACTTTCACATCCTCAACTAGGCACACCTGAGCTTTATTGTCCCTCAGAATCACTCATAATGCATTCATTCCTATTAGAGACCACTGCAAATGTGTGAAAAATATGAGTAAAGTTGACCTTTAACAACACTTCGTGTCTTACTTGTTGTAAATAACTATTTAAGATATTTCAGTTGGGAAACAGATTATTTCTTCTCAGGTAAAGCTAAAGCTAACCGTTAACTACAGCTTTAGGCCAGTTTCAAAGTGGATTTCTGACAACTTAAAACCATTCAAAATTTCAAAACGGAAGGAATTTTACTCCAATTTAAAACTTTGTTTCACAATCCACAACTATTTAGACATTTTTATAAATTTTAAAGTCTGATCAGAGGTTTTCCTCAAATTTTCTGCTGTGAATAGATTTACAAAGAATTGTATACGACACATTTTGGCAGAAATATTCACTCTAAAATCTCTGAGATCAGAGATTTTAAATGCCATTTAAAATCTCTGGTCAGTAATCTGTTTGGCTACCGGGAATGTCAACTCTTTAGTCTCAGTTTCTCCAAAGAGAGGCTGTTCAAAGTGTTACCTACTACAAGTAGGATTTTTTATTTTCCACAGAATTTCATTTCAAAAGATCTGCAGTAGTTTAACAATAATATAAACATTCTTTATTATTTCATTTCAATTACCTTAAATTAGCAATGGTAACATATTCCACTTAATTGTTTGGTAACCTAAAAAGGGTATTTATGGTATCCTATTAAACTTATAAAATACAAATTTTATTGCTTTTAACAGGATCCTCAGAAATACTCTGAAATCAAGGAGAGCTGCAAATTTCGCACTCTAGATAATGAAAAAGTAGTAAGTATCTCACTCTCACTCATGCACCAATAACTGAAATGAATAATTTTACAATCAAATCAATTATTTTGATTGATTTTAATGTGTTGTTTAATAATCAGATTGAACAAGAGATTGATTACCCAAAGGCGAGCGAGAGGAAGGAATGCATTGCGTTACTGAAGGCGATGCTGACCTGGGATGCAAATAAGAGGATCACTCCGAGCGAGATCCTCACCCATCCCTTCATCAGCGTGGACTCCAGCAGATTCAGCAGTTCTTCCTTGGAGTCTATCAGCATGCTTGATCCAGAACCCTGCACCAGCAGGGCTCCAGATCCTCATGAACGCAAAGCATTTGCTCCAAGAATGGTCTGGGAAGCCAGTTCCAGCAAAGTACTCAGGGAGTCAAAGAAGGAGACCTTTTTGAAGCGATTATTTTGCTGTTGCATGCTGAAGTCAAATGTTGCTAGTGCATGAATTATTCCACACAAAATGCTAGCTGTTACCATTCACTTACATTGTTTATGCATTTTTTTTTTACATTGCACTTTTGCATTTTGTCAGTTTTAATTCAATTCTTGTACTTTGGTGACATGATTCACGTTTAAGGTGCTCTGTAAATAAAGACTGAGTTGACTTTAAGCTAAAGCAAACAGAATTAGACACTTGTCTACGTTTTAGGGTTAGGGTTAGTAATTTGACACATTGTGACTATGACATGAAGCACCTTCAGGACAGGTGGAGAGTACAGCAAGTCTTCAGGCTTCAGATGGAAACACCTGTTTAGATATTCATTAGAAAACTCCATCAGCAGTTGGATGTTGTAAATGCTTTCTGCTATAGAGAGGACCTCCTTCAGGCAAATATCTGCACAGATCAGAGCAACAACATTCAATATGATCAGATTACGTCTGAATAGTTTAACGGTCACTTAAATAGGAGATATCTGCATTTAGAAAACTGACCTTCTAGTCTAATGAGGTCCGGGCAGTAAAAGTGGATCAGAGCGAGCAAAGCTGCACCATCACACACATCCTTCAGCAGGTCTTCCAAAAGGGGGAAATGCTGCAGAGTGCGACCTGCTGGGTGATCCCTGCGGTAGCGCACCTGTATGACAAGAGGTGAGCAAGAGTTTACACAACCATATCTAAATCAATAATCACAGAGATACAACATTCATCACTTTGTAAATCACTGTTTGCTTTGCTTCTGAATATATTTTAACACCTTCAGCTACCTAGTTTTGCATCTAGTCAGTTTGACAGAAAAGCATGGCATATCTGATGTGAAGCAGTGGGAATGGGGAAGGCATGGCAGGTAGGATGGCAATATCCAGTTAGAATAAAAGGCTGATTAGAGGTCGACGAGGTTGAAAGTGAAGTATGTTTTCTTGAATAGTTGTCACATAAAAAAATTGATGAATTTGAAAATCAGGGAACAGCTTTTTATAAACAAACAAACAAACAAACAAACAAATAAATAAATACATACATACATAAATAAATAAAACCATAATAAAAACATACTATAAAGTTTTCACAAGAATTAAATAGGCTAAAAAGCTTAATGAATGGGCAAGATGAATTAAAAATAATTAGATCATCTAAATATGAAGCTCACTGTAGTTATTGAGTAGCTGCATTTGAATATTTTGTGGAGGTAATAATTTCTCATTTTGCTTTTTTAATTAAAAGAATAACAATTATTATTAAATAATAAATATGTGCCACAAAGTATAAAAAAGAGATGCAGTGTAAACATCTGTCTCCCTCGGGGCTGGTAAGTCTCTCCTGTAGTTAAATCCCCATGTAGATCTTGGTATTTTCCAGACGTTCATGGTGGTGTATTTAAAGTAAAGTTGTTTGACTATGTGTATCACATCAGTGATGCATATTTACAGTGGTTCCTAAATTAGGTGTTGGGGTCCCGCTGTTGATCACCAAGAACTACACAGGGGGTCTTGAGATTATTTCCAGAAATCAAAATAAAATGTTTAAACAATTGCTGAAGCTATGTTTCTAGCACAATTGTTAAAAAAATAAACGAATGAAATATGCCATAAATGCAAGTGAACATGAGCTGAAGCAGTTTTCTTTATGCCAGGATTTATGAATTCTTTATCTGGGGTTGCATGTCTTGACAACTGCTAATTTGTGGGTCTCAAAAGTTTCAAACTGCAGTAGTCAATCTACTAAATATTTTTTGTTTGGGGTCAAAGAAAAGCCACATCACAAGAGAAGTGAGCTTAAAAACAGCAGGACACGTTTATAATTTTTGCTTAAAACCAACCACATAGTGTGAGTGATAAAACATTGTTAATTCTGTTAATGGTATTTTCAGGTCAAGAGTCAAACTGATAATTGTGTAAAAATCTGATGCAGATAGCCTAGTCTAGACTCAGTAAAATTATTGTAGTTTTAATAATTTATTTTTAAATGACAGTTTGTTAAATTAGTTTGTTCAGACTAACATAATCAAACAAAGCAAATATTTCTGTTTTTCAGTTAGATTTTTTCCTGTCTGATCTCACATGATAAAGCAGCAACATAAAATTGAAGCCCTAAATAAACAAGACGAACAATAACTAAAAATAAAAAAAAAACATTTCTTTTATTAATTAACAATCATTGTAAGTTTATTTAAGTAAGGCGCGATAATGGTTCTGCTGGTTGAAAACTTGAAATGCTCTCCACGGTGGAATACAGCTGCTGCATCTAAGAAGCTGCCTAGGTGTCATGCAGGGGGTGAGAGCGGCTGGGCTAGCCTGACAAATCTATTTTATTTGATTGTTTGTTGCTTTTTTTGGCTTTGATATAAACTAACACTTTATTTTTCATAAATGTGTGTTTATTTATTAAAAAGTTGGCTGACGGAACCACGCGGAACCATTCCGAGACACGCGGTGGCGCTGATGTAGAAATTCAACGCTTTCTGCGTCAGCCCTTTAAAGACCACCGAAGAAGAAGCGGGGAGACGAGGAGAAGGCTGACATGATATTTACGTCCAAGGGAGACCTCACTGGGACGGGACGGGTACCGCAAACCTTTTGTCCCCGGCGGGTTTCTGTCACGGTAACTCCACATACCTGCGGCCTGTTTTCACCCCCGTTACAGTCAGGTAGGTTGACTGTCCGCCGTGAGTGTTTTGGCTAATTTAGCTATCAGAAAACAAGTACAAGGGCTGGCGCGCGCTCGGTTTGACATGAAGCAACTGCACTGCAGCCAGTGTTAGCTCAGCTGTCACCGCGATGCAGAATAATGTTACCGGTGGGTGTGAATGACACCGGTGTCCGCCTTTTACATTCGCATCTCTTATGTTTGTGTAACCCTTAATGAAGCAAGGAGAATATGTCAGCCTTAAATTATCTTTAGACAAACACGAAAGAAGCTGAAGATGATGGCTGGACTAAATGTCGTTAAATGCAGATTAACGCATCTATAGGACTCACTACTGTTTGTTCTCTAAAGTCTATCTTCAGACATCTGTGGATGAATATTTGCTTCTCGGAGCCTTTTGTTTGACCCAAAGACGATCCGTTTTGACTAGACCCTCCCTATTACTTGAAACAAATGCAATTTGATACTAATCGCTGGGTTTTTCACTGACACCCATCCACACACTCATGCTGTAAGTGCTGTAGAGATGGTTGTCCTGGCAACAGAAGCCCAAACGTCCTCTAATCAGTCCTGCAGCTCATCTTCCGGTACGTTACAGCCCTTTCCCCCTTATTAAGGACTCTGGATGGATCTAAAAAGTAGAAATGGAAGTGAAACACGATACTTTATCCCTTAAGCCTTTTTAAACAATATTTTATGAACAAAACCAACCATTTGGAGCATAAGAAATGTGTATTTTTCATTATTTTATGAAAACAGTTATAGGATTCTTTGATAGAGAAATTTTTTTTTGTTATTTCTGTTTTAAAACGTCACGTCTCACATTTACTTGTTCTTTTTTGGCTATTTTATTTCATCACTGATTCTTTTTTAACACCACAAATGTGTTAATTTGTACTGACTAAATCATTATTTTATTTCTCTCCTTGCTTCAGTTTGACTTTTGTGTCTGAAATCTAAATACACAGGATGTGCTGACATTTTCTACATAAAGTCAATATTCTACGTATAAAAAAGTATTTCTGGATCTTTCTATCTTGTGGTTCTCTGACTGTTGAGCCCACTGCTATATCATTGCTTGGTGTTATTTTTGGCCCAAGTGGAAACCATATGCCTCCTTCAGCACGGCAAGAGGGATGAGCATCTGGGATCAAAGCAGTGTGCACACAAGTTTAGCAATATGCAATCATCGTTCATTTACTTGTGTTTTGTTACAAGTTTAAAATGTTTAAATGGACCAGCCCTTAACTTTTAAAGCTTTTTTGTTGTTGTTTTCCTGGACTCTGATGATTCATGGCATGGGTTAAATAAATTGGGGACAACTTATAACTTAAGTCTTATTTTAATGGTTACACAAGCAACATTAGAGGTGCATTTCTAACCGTTTCATATTGACATTAACAAGTAATCACGTTTCTAGTATTACTGAGCATAACATCTGCTCTTTTATATTATAGTTTTTTTTTTTTTTTTTGTATTTTAACCAAAAAATGGTTTAGGGTAAAACTGGTCCTTCTGTGATGAATGGTTATCATGGGAAGTATAAAGTACACTTTCATTTAGTTGCTCTTAGTTATAAAATGTGCTAAATGAGGAAATAATAATTCTGTTTCATATTTTGAAAACAGAAATGGCTTTCAGTGACTGTGGCCTTAACTTTGAACACAGTGTTAAAAAGCAACTCTCCTTTATTTGTAGGCAGTTTCTGGGTTCTAATAATTGTGTGAAATTTAATTCCAGAAACACTGGAAAACTAGGCAATGTTAACTATTTACTTTATTTGTCGTGGTATAAATTCAGTCAGGAAAGTATGTATGCAAAATAAATAAGCTTCCTGCTTCTCCCTCCCACTGGCTGAAAGTGGTATTAAAACTGTTGTAAACAACCATGCCACAGCTTGCATTAACAATTATTAACAATGGGCTAATGCTAACACAACTGATACTAAAAAAAGCCACATAATGAAAAGATCCACACTGTTGGATAAAAAAAAATTATTACTTACAAGTCCAACAAAACTAAGTCACGATAAGTCCGTGATTTTGTGGCTTCCTTCAGCCCCGTCAAACTAGTGTAGTCAATGTTTACTCTGGTTTTAGCTCTTTGTTTCACTTCCAAAGACATTACTTTCTTATTTTTGCTTAGAGTTTCCACCATGACTTGCCTCTCCCCCCAAATAAAGCTTCTAGCTTTTTATTGATGGTCAGCAAACTGAAAAGCTAACTGCTAGCTTATATTAGCTAGTGGCACAGTAAACAGCTATTTTCGTAAATCAGGTAGCGGCCTCCCACTAGTGTTCATACCAGAACAACAAAACTGTTAAGACCAGTCTCTAGTGAGCAGAGGGCTACAGAGTGGTGTCCAGTGCGAAGTTGCTCAAGTTCATGGCTAAATGATCACTTAAACCAGTTTGAAGGCAATAGCTTAAAGTTTTAAAAACTAGTTTAGTCCCTGTTTTTTTAGATGCATTTAGTCTGGGAGCTAAAACCTTCATAAATGAATGAATGTTCCAGTACGTCTGACATAGATATTCAAACATTTCTTTATGTTCTTTGGAACAATGTTTTCTCATTAGTGTGAGTGTGTCCATCTAATTCAGTAAGACCCACTGGGCCTGTTGCATTAGTTTGGATGAAACCGGCTATTTGGAAAGCTGCCAAAACCAAGGAGCAACATTACACCTTCACACTGATTCTATTTGGCAGGAAAGCATTTCATAACGTGGTCTTCTTAACAGCAAACATTCACTGCAAACAAATGATTTAAGGTGTGAATGAATGATAAGTGACATTTTTATAACTCTGCCGATACAAACTGGCTCATGGTTTTCCTAATCTTGCGTTTTTCAGGTGTGCATTGGAGTTTAGAGGATGCACAAACATGGTGCCTTGTCAAACCAATGTGTTGCTGAAGTGGCAGGAGCATTTCAACAGTTCCTGGGCTGCGGAAGACAGCGTTCAGACAGCAAGGAGACACAATGCTGCTGTTCTTTACAATAAGCTCCTTTACAATAAGGAAGTGGTGACTCTAGCCCAACCCGTGCAAGAACTCGTCGGCCCACGGCTCCCAGACTTCGACTGTGAATGCAGCACATCAGCTGAGAAGGAGGAGTACCTGTCGTCCCTACTTCACAGTCAGCGATGGCTGGCTCACCGCATGTTGACTCAAACCTCCTACACCCTGGGCCTCCACCAGAGGCTGGTAGTTCTGCAGAGGATCTACTATGCACTTCACAGCAAATATCATGACAAGTTTCGTGTGCAGCTTCCCTCTCAGTCTACAGATAGCGGGGCTGAAAGTGGCCAAATTGACCCGGCTTCGGAACTTTCTCTGCCTGGGGGTGTGGCCAAAATCAAGTCGGGCACAGATGTTCTGATAGAAATGGGTGTAAGGACAGGTTTGAGTCTCCTTTTCTCATTACTTCAGCAGAACTGGAGGTATGCCGCCTCTGTGCATCCAGAGTCTGTGCTTTGTAATGATGTGCTGGCCACAGCTTCCTCTGTCCTGGCTTCACTTCCACCACTTTCTCTGGCTAATGAGAACAAGATCCCATCGGTGGGTTTGGACTGCCTGGCACAGGTGGCTGACTTCTTGAAGAAGACGTCAGTGAGCAGCGGGAGTGGCGGGGCAGACCCGACTGGTCGGAGGCTAGCAGTGGAGCTGTTGCTAGGCCTGGCCATGCAAAGAGGCTCTCTGAAGTTTCTGTTGGAGTGGGTGGAGGTAGCCCTGGCTGCGTCGATGTCCTCCTCCACCTCTGTTCCATTTTCCTCCTCCTCAAGGGGCTTTCAGCAGTCGGTTGGTGTAGGCTTTGATGTCATTCAACAAACGCTTCTCCAAATGAAGCAATTTTCGGTTTGTATCCTTATTTTTACGTTTTAAATTTCAAAACATTTTTACCACCGTTTTCAAAAACGCACACTTTGGGAACATTTATCTGCACGATTGGCTTTCAATTCTTTTTTTCTAACCTGAATATATTTTTAGTGAAAGTTGGACTGAAGGTCAAATTTTACATAGTAATACTTCTAAAGTTTTCAGTGCACATGATGATGACCTCTAAATTAAAACAGAACCATACAGCAATCCTGCATCTAATCATAGTACAATATTTTATCTTTAAATCAGTAATTTAGTTTATCTTTATGCAATGCTGCGAAAGTTGTGACCTGGAGAGCCAAAAGCTATGCAAGCCATGATATGAAATTATACACTGTAGTGTAAAGCAGTGTGGTTTCACTCTTTACTTTATTAGAATTGTTGACACTTTTTGCAGAAGTTCTTTTGTGAGGCCAGACGAGAAGACTTGGCTCACAATCTCTGTTCTGATTCATTATCAAAGTGTTGAGATCAGGACTATTATATAAGCTTGTCAAGCTCCTCCTTACCAGACTCAGCCATACGTTTTCATAAGATCTCTCAATTGCACTGGTTTGGTGGGGTGATCCAGTTAGGGTGGCCAGATCCCAACTCGCCGAATGTGGGATCTTCACACCGTGACACGAAAAAATACCCTGAGAAACATCACAGAGAATCTATCTGTCTTTATTTTGACAGCATTTTCTCCCCAGCGCTCATGTATGTGCCGTGCTCATGGACACTTCTGTTTTGGGTGCGCGCTCCACACGCTCCGGACCTGTGTTAAAGTCCCACCTCCTAGTTTGACAGCAACTGGCAGCTTTCTCCGCACAGTTTATGCAAGATTGAAACTCCACTCAGGAGACTGTCAGTGATGCGGGACAAGAGTCTTAATTTACGAGACGTGTAAAAAGCAATGAAAATGCAGGACTGTCCCCCACAAAGCGGGATGTCTGAGCTCCCTAGACCCAGTTCTGATGCTAATATAGTGTATGTGTTAGATGCAACATTTTATGCAAAAGTGTCACAGCTTGATACTTTTGTTATTGCATATTCATTTCAATAGCGTATAAAAACAAATCTGTATTGGTGCATCTTTAAAACACAACACGGATTTGATTTATATGAAAGAAAAAAGTGGATCACAAGTTTCGGTTTCACAAGCAACCACGTTGCCTCCTGTCCTTGACATAATTTCCCTCTTGATTTTGCAGTGCCATGTAGATGTTATACATAAACATAGATGTTTCTGAACAGATAAACTTTATTATACCTTTGGAATTAAAGTACCGAGTACCTAAAAGAATAAAATCTGCATGTTTAGGTGACTTTATTTTAATTCCAGACATTAGTCACACTGCTAAACTCTTTGCTTTTACCAATGGCACAGGGTTTACATACATCAGTTTGTCTCCCTAGGGTTTCCGTGGTGATGCCGTCAACACTCATGTGCTTACAAGGGATGCAGATGGACTTTGCAGACTTTCTCAGGCAGCTCTCTGCTTGTTTGAAGAGGTAAAATACGACTCAGAAAACAATCGTTTTTGCATTTACTGATTTTAAACAGCTTCCCTCCCTTCTGCTTTAACAGATCTGTAACTTGGCATCCAACTGCCTGTGCTCCTGCAGCACAGATGCAGTTTCTCCCTGTACTGAAAGTGATGCTGTGATGGTGTATGTTTGGGGCAGCAACAGCAGCCATCAGCTGGCAGAAGGAACTCTGGAGAAAATCCTGCTGCCAAAACTGACACAGGGCTTCAGCGATGCTCAGATGGTAAGTTTGACCTAAACGATAGGAATCACTCCTTATTTCAGTGGTTTAATATGCTAACATGAGTAAAGCATAATATTTAATCATGAGCAAAACCTTGTTGGGAATCTAATAAGAAATCCTGTTTTTGATTCTACTTGATAAGATTACCAAATCTTGGATGACCGGGAGCTGTGCATATGTGCATTACCTAACTCATTTGTTAAAGAGCAAGTAACGTCTAAATTAACTTTTTTTTGCTGATGAACTGCATACATGAGTGTCTAATAGTGTTTTAAATGTGTGCATTCTTTATTTTAGCATTTTGGTGCATTTTCTTTAAAAATTAAAAATTCTGTCTAAAAACCACAGTAATGCGCCACCTTCAGCTGAAAACATAGAATTTGAGTCATTTTGAATAAATTTTAGCCAATGGCTAAAGAGTAAAGTACTACGTAAACCAGTAGAGTACTACGTAGCAGCTCCGTGCCAAAGTTATAAAAGCAACGAGCGTCTCGGCCACGCCCTGTGGTGAGTGGGAGTTGGATTTGCAAGCGAGCGTAGGAGGTCAGCGGTAGTTCAGCATTAGCATATAGCATTAGCATATCCTAGTCTTTAGCATATCTTTTAGTGTTATAAATACTTATTTAGTGTTAGATTTGGCTGTTGGATATTGTAGTTTAGTTAGTGTTTGGCTGTTAGTGTAATTGGGAAAGTAGTTCGGGTTTAGTGCTCCATATCGTGTTAGTATTGGTGAGTAGGTGTAGTGTAGTATGGTTGCGGTGACTCTGGGCATTTTACCCGCGATTCTGCACGTCTCCTTTTGAAGAGGGAGGCTGCCCACCGTGGCTCTTCCGCGATTTAGATGCAGCCCACCGACTCTGCTCTCCCACCACGGCGGGCTCCAGTCTGAGGTGAGTAAGCTAAATAAACGTTTTAACATCTTCTAAAGACAATTCCCTACCTAAATGCAAAGTCTGAGAGATGTGGTTCACTTCCTTTAGCTAGTCAGTCGGCAATTCTGCAACAGTTAAAGTTAAAGTCCCATTAGTTGTCACACACACTGATGTGTGTGCGAAATTTGTTCTCCGCATTTGACCCATCCCCTGGGGGAGCGGTGAGCTGCAGACACAGCCACGCTCGGGAACCATTTGGTGGTTTAACCCCCCAATCCAACCCCTTAATGCTGAGTGTCAAGCAGGGAGGCATTGGGTCCCATTTTTTTTTTCAAAGTCTTTGGTATGACCCGACCAGGAATCGAACCCCTGATCTCCCAGTCTCAAGGCGGACACTCTACCACTAGGCCACTGAGCTGGTTCTAACTAACGCAGCACTAGTTGACAGACAGCATTACAGCGTGAAATCCAGCACAGCGTGACCCGGTTCTGTAAGGAATTCTGTTCAGGAGGTCACATTTCAGGCTCTCCACATCATGTGTGACTGACTTTTACGTTATAACAAAGATCACACACTAGGAATGTTATAAAGCGCCTATATAGGAGATTCTTTTGTATATTATCTGAGTTTATAAACTCCCAACAACAATGTGCTTATTTTTTTTTCAGGCTAAATCTACCCAAGACACTGGCTGTCAGACTGATTTAGCTGCAAGAATGCACTTGTCCAGGCAGACGTGAAGCCTTACCTGTAGCAAAGGTGAATTATTTTTAATAATCTTCTATGTAAACATTTTATTATTACCTTCTAGTTTTAATTTGTTTTACAGATTATTGTTACACGTGATTTTATGCTCTTTTAAACATTTATAAATGTGCTGCTTCTTTGTTTTTACATAGCCAGCCAGAATGGAGTTCACAGCCGCAGTGTGTCTGGTGACCCACGGGGACCATGATGAAAATTCATCTTCCAGAAGGTCCCAGAGCAGTGGCCGCACCCCCTGAAAAGACCAAGGTGTGAGGTGTCGGCTGTTGATTCCAGCTTCCACCTCAGTGACAGTGCAAGCTCAGTGAACTGTTCAAGGTAAAAAAAATTAAAACATTTCAGAATTTTTAAGATATTAACAATTAAATAAGTATGTGATTACATCATGACGGAGGCTACTGATTCTGCCCCCGTGACACTTGGTGGTGACGTGTGAGCTGATTCACCTGGAAAACAACTTTTACATTAAATATTTTGTTTTTGCTATCAAAAGTAAATTAACTAATAACCTGCATTATTGCAGGACACTCAGCAAAATATGGACTCTACACCATGAGTCAGGCACACGTTAATATTCTATAAAAGCACATAAGGTGAGCAACACCACATATTGTATACTGTCCTGAATTTGTTTTCTTTCTGCATCTCATTATCCTGGCTGATCACCTGATAACTCCTGTCATATGGTTATGACAGCATGAGGATGTCCTCACACACCTGTAACCTATCAGCTCATCTGGCAGAATAGAGAGAGAAGAGACAACACCACATCTCCTGTTCCTGGAAAGCCTTCAGCCATCCTTCGATGACTGAGAACCTCCATCAGCTCTGTCTCCTGTCTGCCTACAATTATTATAATAAATATTGTGTTTGACAAGTTTTTTTGTGCTGCCAAATATCTCATATAGATTCCAGTTTTGATATTTTAATGGATATTTATAAATTACATTAATTGAATTATCACATTGCATGTTTAACTAGCTCTATTGTGATGAATTAAACTAGCACCTCACTGTTAAAAGCTCGTTTTAATTTCAAGCATGTTTAAGTATTTATGGACATGAAGAAAAAAAACAGGAAATATGTAAATTGAGATTTATTTAATTAATATAACAAATAAGGGGGAAAGAGTCATTGAAAGGCACATTCTTCTGGAAGCTCCTGATCCTGACGACACCAGCAGGAGACCAGCTGCAGACACCAGAGACCAGCTGCAGACACCAGAGGACCTAGAACCAAGAGAGCAGCTGTTATTAGTAAATAAATAAATCAGGGCAGTTTTAGTGACCTGAACACATTACAGAATAATTTTCTCATGGGGTATTTTCATAACTTTATGCAGCAGACTGTAACTTGAGCCCAGGGCTACCGGAGAGCTGCTATCCAGCACGTTTCAGTGGATTTTCCTGCTTTAACAGGTTCAGATTAACTGTTAAGCAGCTCAGCTATTTGTTGCTGATTAAAACCAGGTGTACTGAAGCAGATAAACCTCTAAAACATGCTGAATACTAGCTCTCCAGGGCTGTGGAGACAAACCCTGCAGCTAATCTGATGCTATGGCTAATGGCTACTTACATTCAGAGGTGGTTCTGTTGGGTCGGTTCTGGGAGTTACAGGCAACTCACAAGCTCACAACAATAAGGCTCAGGTCCGCTTGTCTCCTCCAAATAGACTTGGTCCCTTTCTTCTCGAGTGTCTGAGTAAGGAGGGGGAGAAACGTCCTCCATTTCTAATAACTGCATAGAGTGAAGGGAGCTAGCATCGTCTAGTTAGCCGTCGTCTTCGTCACTGCCGCGGCTCCGCCCTCTCGGTCCTCCAGGCAACGCCTACTAATGTTGCATTTTTTAAAATTGATACGTGGGTGGAGTAAGACTCCGAGGCTCAATTGACCCGCTCTTTAAATATTGATGACGCCTCATTGTAAGAATGATCTTTTTTCTCTTTTTTATCAAATTTGCTTTTTTTATTAAAATAATTTCAAATATGATGGTCTGGATTTTATATGAATAAGTCAAACTAGTAATTTTTGTAAAAAAAAAAACAAAACAAAAAAAAACCCCTTCAATATCAAATAGTAAATAAATGGTAAATGACCTACCTGTATTTGATATAGCGCCTTCTAGAGTCCTAGAACTCCCCAAGGCGCTTTACAACACAATCAGTCATTCACCCATTCACACACACATTCACACCCTGGTGGGGATGAGCTACGATGTAGCCACAGCTGCCCTGGAGCGCATTGACAGAGGCGAGGCTGCCATCGTTCCCTCCTACCACCACCAGCAGGCAAGGCGGGTTAATTATCTTGCCCAAGGACACAATGACAGCGGCATATTGAGCGGGGCTCAAACCTGCAACCTTCCAATTGCAGGACAAGCACTTAACTCCTGTGCCACAGTCACCCCAAATACACGTTTGTTTTTGAAAAACCTCACTGTTCTTTAAGGCCGTGACCCTTGGCTTCTTTCAGATTGAAGCAGGCCAGTACTGCACCTTCTCTGTATCTGCGGATGGCTCAGTGAAAGCCTGTGGAAAAGGCAGCTATGGGCGTCTGGGTCTGGGGGACTCCAACAACCAGTCCATGCCCAAGAAGCTGGTCCTCGAGCCACACAGAAAAATGAAGAAAGTGTCCTCCTCCAAGGGCTCTGATGGACACACTTTGGCTATCACAGTAGAAGGAGAGGTGAGAAGGATTAAATGAGTTATAGGACATAATTAAATGAGTGGTCTTTAAATTTAACATCACGTTTTCAATAATAAATAAGATAGACTGTTTCTTTTAGGTGTTCAGCTGGGGTGACGGCGAATATGGGAAACTGGGTCATTGCAACAGTGCTACACAGAAATACCCCAAAATTATCCAAGGGCCTCTTTTAGGGAAAGTAAGTCTGTAGGAAATGTTACCCTTCAGGAAAAATATTAGTGGAAAATGGAGATTTGGTAGTTTTGTTTTATAAATGTATTAATTTAAATAAAAAGCTTAGTGGTTTAAGTCATTTTTACTTGCATCGTGTCTCTCAGGTTGTTGTTGGTGTGTCTGCTGGCTACAGACACAGCGCTGCTGTGACTAATGATGGAGAGCTTTATACGTGGGGAGAGGGGGACTTTGGCAGGCTTGGTGAGCACTTTAGACCTTATTTAGCTTTATCTCAATAGTTTCAGAGTGAAGTCATCCCAATCACCTATTTGTTGTCCTGTTTCTGCCTGGTTCAGGTCACAGTGACAGCCAGAGCAGGAATGTGCCCACGCTAGTGAAGGATATCAGCGGTGTGGGGCAGGTGGCCTGTGGCAGCTCCCATACTATTGCTGTAGCCCAGGATGGACGTACTGTATGGTCCTTTGGAGGAGGAGATAATGGTGGGTCGACAGTCTGATATAAATCATTTGGAAAAGTCTTCTTAAAACTTTGTTTTCTGTACTTATTGTTTAAGATATTAACAATCACTCCCACTGCCTCCATGATCATAATACTCTTTCATCTAATGAATGGAACCATGTTAATATAAATCTTGTCCTGTCATAACAGAAATGTGTTTGAGCTAGAGTGGAAAAAAGGCAATATGTCTTATCTTTGTAGGTAAACTGGGTCACGGAGACACAAATCGAGTGTATCGCCCTAAGGTCATCGAGGCCCTTCATGGATTTATCATCAGGAAAGTGTGTGCTGGCAGCCAGTCATCTTTGGCTCTTACCTCTGCGGGACAGGTTAGAACCTGCATTTTTAACTTTGGGATAGATTTTCAATGTCAAACTAGCTCATGCCTGAAAACTGGATCGGTAATTAAATAAAATATGATCGTGTGACAGAAGACACTAAAAACACTTTTAATTTGAGTCGTTTATAATATGTTTTTCGAAATAAGCTTTCGTTTAGAAGGAGTTCACTGAAATCACAATAATAAAGTCCACTCATTCAGGGCAGTGCAGCACAAAAGGAAGGTTAAGATTTATCAGTAATCTGGATACTTCTGTTTACTTGTGTTCTGTCTTCAGGTGTTTGCTTGGGGCTGCGGTTCGTGTTTAGGATGTGGTTCCTCTGAAACAACTTCCCTTAGACCCAGGTTTATAGAAGACCTGAGTATCACCAAGATTATCGATATCTCCTCTGGGGACAGCCACTGTCTAGCTCTGTCTCATGGTAACTATCAGTCATTAAATAAATGTCATCATAAAAAAATAAATACATTTAAAATCTATTGTAACCACATTTCATGCTGTTTTTGTTTTGTCAGAGAATGAAGTGTACGCATGGGGTAACAACACCATGGGCCAGTGCGGGCAAGGCCACACTTCTACACCGATTACTAAACCCAAGAAAGTGCTTGGCCTAGAGGGGGTTTCAATCCAACAAATCACAGCTGGCACCTCTCACAGTCTGGCATGGACCGCAGTTCCAACAGACAGGTAAACATTCGTAAAAGTTTCATTATTCTAATCTCGTGTCTATTAGGTGAGGGTAGTCGAACACTTTCTGCAATTTTGGAACATTTTTTGTTGTATTGCTATCAATAGATTATCTTTTATACTCCACATGCACGCGGATTCATAGGATTCCTTATTAGTTTTGACACATTTGTGCAGGCAGCTGGTGGCGTGGCACAGGCCCTTTTGTGTCGACTTGGAGGAGAGTACGTTCACCTACTTATGCAGCTTCCTAGAAAGATACTGTGATGGTATCAGCAACGACACACCTCCGGCTCCATTTGTATCTAAAAGGTATGAGGTTCTCTTCTGTCTGTGTAGCATTCAGTGCTTTGATGCCTAAAGGTTTCTAATTCTGCGATAAGGTTGGACAGATGTCTTGACCATTGACAATAGTCCACAGTGTGTTGTTGATTGATGCATCAAATAGTCAATGAAATTTGGAAAATAATCTCTCAGATCAGGATTCCTCATGGCCTGCTATCACAAACTGATTGTTTTCAAGAATGATGTATGACTTTTTAGAAATCCTTGAAAGGGATAGTCTTTCCCTGTACTGTGATATAATGTAGACAGGATGTATACAATTGTATATTTTTTTTGCTAAGCCCACACCCTGTCTTGTAGAGCTCCATGTAATTCAAAATCACTGGAGCTCAGCTTTAGTCAAGAACATCATCCATCTACTTATGTACATTTGGAGCGATGGTGGGACCGGAGTTGAGTGCTTGCCTTGTAATCGGAAGGTTGCAGGTTTGAGCCCCGCTCAGGGACCGGTGGGGCCAGTGTACTGCAGACTCGCCTCTGTCTGTGTGCCCCAGGGCAGCTGTAAATCAAGAGCAAGCGAAACATTGACTCACTGATCCACACCACCAGGATCTACAGCACTGATATCGGAATGTCATTCGGACTTGAGATCAGATGGTGAGAAAGAAAGGGAAGGTAGTCCACACAGAAGGGGTCTCACTCCTAGACGGAACAATAGCAGACACTGAGGACAGCTACAAGTACCTTGGTTTCCCACAAGCAAATAGCAACCTCGATGTGGCTGCAAGGAAAGGAGCCACAGCCAAATACCTACAACGAGTAAGGCAAGTCCTAAGAAGTCCGCTCAATGGCGAGAACAACATCTGGGCATTAAACAGCTCCACCCTACCAGTAATCGGATATCCTGCAGGAATAATAACTGAGCAAAGGAAGAAAAACTGACCACAGATGTTAAGACACGGAAGCTCGTAACCATGCATGGAGTGTTCAATCTGAAATCCAGCACCCTGAGACTGTACACTAGCTGTAAGGAAGTGTAGACGATTTGCTTGTCATCTAGAACCTTCTGGTGTTGATCCGTAACTGGCAACAGCCATGAAACTCATGGAATGTCAGTGAGAGAGTAATATATTAGCTTTAAAAATGTACTGCAGTAACCACAGTTGACAAAATGATGTAATTCATACAAATGGCACCTTTAAAAGTGCGATACATTCTCTTTAGATGGTGCCATCTGACAAAAAGAATAAATACAGATTTTCTGCTTTAAGAACTTGTTGTGACTGGTGGATGGCTGTGTGCAGTGCATGCCAGTCCAACAAAAAGCCTAAATTTCACCACCAATTTATCGTCCATCATTAATATCAGTTGGAAATATTTGACATTTTCACACAACCTTGTAATAACCAGTAATAAATGTCCTTGTTCTGTTTTTTGTCTCTCGTCCAATGCTTTCTATGTCTTTTAGGGACCACCATCATTTCCTTTTGCTGTGCATGAAGTTGCTGTCCATCCACTTGTCTTTGGCGCATGCCGGTGGTACAGGTGCCATGGTTCTAGGTGCTCAGGGCAGGCCCCTTAGAAACCTGCTTTTCAGGCTCATTGACACCAACATGCCTGACTCCATACAACAAGTAAACTGTCTAAATTACTTTTCTAAAATCCCTGTTACTGGCGTTTATATCTGTTAGTATCAGATCATTGTGTAAGTACAAGATAAAACCATTGTGGCCACTGATGACTGATTCTGTTTTGTGTGTCTTCAGGCAGTTCTGAACACCTTGTCTATTGGTGCATCCCTGCTGCTGCCCCCTCTCAGGGAAAGAACCGAACTGCTCCTCTCCCTCCTTCCTCAGGGTCCCCAGAGTTTAGATGCTCTCTCTAAAGGGCAGGTATGTGGGTCGCTCATAGTGGTGCTGCTCATAATAACCAAAAGTGTTATTTTAGTGTTTTTACTCCAAGCTCTTCATTCTTTAGAGCGGTGTTGAAGTAAAACTGTTTCAGCAGCTTTTAAAATGTGATTTTGTCTCATCTGCTTGTCTTTTTTCCCCTGACGGCTCACTGATAGTTGGTTTCATAATGGTTGGTGCTAGAAAATCTTCATATCACTGCCAACTTGGGAGTGTTGATCGGAAAAAAAAGTGTGAAAGCTGCGAAAACATGCTAACTGTGAAAACTGATATGCTCTCTTTTTTCTTCTGCATATTTTTCAAAGCGTCTGCAGTTAGACATGGTCCTCAGCAGCCTTCAAGACCAGAGCCACGTCGCTTCTCTCCTGGGTTATAGCAACTTTGGTGATGTGACGGGCATGGGGCCTCCTCTGACACCGTCCGTGTCAGTCCGTCCACCTTCTTCATCCAGCTCTGCAGAGGCTTACGACCCTCTGCACTTAGCAGAATTGCTGCTGAAAACACTTCTGCTTAGTATAAGCTTTTACACGGTACGAAACAAAGAAACACACAATCAACTACCCTGAATTAATGCTCTTCTATCCTTTTATCTGTTAACTATTTTGCTTTAGAATTTCTAAAGGTCATTTGCATGAAAATACACATTCTTTAAAGCCACAGTGTGTAATATTTGTGTTAAGTGTAATCAGTGTGTAAATCACATTCACAAACTTGTCCTTTTTCATTAATAATTCTCACCAAAGTTTATTCTAAATATTACTTTTAGCTTGAAAAATATTTTTTTATACATAATCTGTGGTCAATGCTCCATAGCAGGGCTGGGCAATAAATGGAAAATGCATCGTTATCAAAATTTCTGAGTCTTATTGAGAAAAATTTTCCCATGTCAATAAATTTGATAATAAAAATAATGAAAAGATGTGTGTAGGTTGGCAATATTTATGTCCCTTTAAGAAGCTGTACCACCTTGAGTCACATAAAAATGTGAACCAACGTAATACATGTGACAGCCCCATCTAGTGGACAACTTTCAGTTGTTATCGTTCATTTATCATTATCGAGGTGAAATCCTCACTATACTGTGATATTGATTTTAGGCCATATCGCCCAGCCCTGCTCCATAGTCACGCGCCATTTTGAAGTACCGTAGCTGTTTAGGGACATATAAGATGAAATGCTCCACTCTAGCACTTTGAGATGGAAGTTCCCTTCCCTCTAAACGATGTGAGGGCGTGGCTCTGGTTTTATTCGTGGCAGTTTTGCTGGTTTGGGAGAACTCTGCTTCTTCACCTTGGGTTGCTTGCCCTGTTCTTACTACATATGATCGCTGGCTTGAAAGCTGGAAGTTATTTATAAATGTGGCAGTGCCCGCACGGCTGTGAGGGACAGGGAGATGAGTGGCGTAGCACACGTGACAGACGTGGCAAAAGCATTACACACGGCAGAAGCAGCAGCCCTAAGACGACAGCTGCGGTAAATGACTGATCAGACCTGTTCTACATATATTAACAGGACACGCACAGCGGACTCTCTAGTCCCTGTGAGAGATGCTGACTGCAGGAAGCAGCAGAAACAGTAAATACATTTTGCAGACCATTGAAAGCTGGTGTGTGGTGTTTTCGCGTTGCCACTGAAGCTGTAATATCTACTCTGAACTGCGTGGCACTAAGGAGTCGAATATTTTTACACACTGGGGCTTTAAAACATAAAATGGGTAAAAGTTAATTTAGAAAAGACTTATTTAAATAAAATAATAATTTCTTAGAGCACTAATTTAACAATATGAAGTTGTGAATTACATTTGATATTCTTTGTGACAATTTAAAATGTCTTGAATAGTCAGCTGTTTTTAGTTGGACTTTATTATCTGTTTATAATATTTTATAGATCCTTTTAAAAATCTTTAAATTGTTTTTTTCCCTTTACAATAGCAATTTTTTTAAATAAAATTTCACTTGGGCATTTAGTTCCTTTTTAAATATTATTTATTATTTTATAATTTATAATATGCTTGTTCATGCAGGAGCAACAGTTTGGTGAATTAGAGAAAAACAGCGATAAGCAGCTTTGTGCTGGCCATCCGGGACAAACTGATCCTCCCTCTCACTTCCACCAGCTTCTGTCTGGACTTCACAAACACCTGCTGGCCCACTGCTACATTCATTCCAACCCTGAGGTAAAGTCAGAATCAACCAGATACAATATAAAAGGGGCTGCGTGGCAGCACTGTTGTCTTGGAGCAAGGAGGTGGTGGGTTTGAATCATGGCAGCCGCCTTTCTGCGTGGGGTTAGCATTTTCTCGTCATGCATGCTTGGGTTTTCTCTGGTTACTCCGGTTATCTCCCAAATGTCAGGTTACTTGGGAGTGACTTTGGATAAAAGCATCTGATAAGTTAACACACAGAAAACCAATATTTTACAGGAATAAAAGTCTGGAATAGAACTTTTGCCATTATTTATTGTTCTGTTAACTTGCTCCTACACGTGATGCAGCATCCACACTTGATGGTTTTCTGAAGCTTTTCAGTTGACCATGTGCTGCCATTTTTGTGCTGATTTGTAGGATGATGGTAGTGTGATTCTGCTGCGAGATCATCTTCACCTGCTGCTTCCCTGCGCTGCTGAAACACTCAGGAGATCAACTAAACTGCTGAAGGAGAGTTCTCCAGACAAACAAATGATTAAAAAACTGCACAGTAAGACTAATAGGCTGCTGTTTTCTGTGTAATCCTGAGTTAATTTATTTTATCAGTGACACTAACCTCCTTTTCCTGCCTTGTTATTTATTTATTTTTTTCAGTGGTGTTGTACAATTCATTAGCTGGCAGCCTGTTGTGCCAGATAATGTACTCCGTGTTGCTGCTGCCTCTGGACACAGTTCAGCCTCTTCTTAGTCATTTACTATCCCTGCTGGAGCACTTCAATGACTTCAACAGTCTGCTGCCAGAGACAGTTCTGCTGGAGGAACAAGAGTTGGGAGTAGAGGCTCAGAAAACCTCTTCTGGTCGGTATAGTGATGCTTAGATTCACCAAGCACTAAAACAATAATGGTGTTGTATAACTGGTGTTACAGTAAAACATATGTACTAGTAACAAATCCCAATGATCTTTGTAAAAACTGCAGATAAAAATGAAGAAAACCTTGGAAAGCAACAAGAGGAGGAGTGCAGATGGGTTTGGATACTGGACCTGGAACGATCTGTTGCATTGGCAGTTGGCCGCTGCCTTGGTGGCATGCTACAAGGTCTGCCACCTTCCCTCCAGGAAAAAATGTCAGAGATGTGGCTATCAAATATCCTCCTCAGAAATGGTCTGGAGATGGACTTTGAGCAGCTGGGTAGGAAAACATGCCGTCTGTTCAACAAACATCTACAATGAGCAAAAATTATTCAAAGACTATTTTAAGAATGTTGAAAAACTGCAGTTTTTCAAAGTGAAGCTCGCCTTATGTAGTAAACATCTCACATAATCAGGCTACATAGCTGGCCTACAAATGTACCTAGATTAAAGCTATTGTGTGTGTATATATATATATATATATATATATATATATATATATATATATATATATATATATATATATATATATATATATATGACAGAGTAAATGGAACATCCCGTTAAAGTGTGCAGGTTTTATTGATGCGTGGTTTCCTGCAGACTCTACCATGTCATGGCTGACTGAGATTGTACTGCTGGGCACCAGTGATGCTAGACAAGCAGAGCTAAATCTGACTGAAGACACCAGAACTTTACTGGATTTGGCTCTGGGATCCACCAGAGGCCATGCAGGTGTCCTGTGGTGGAAGATGGAGGAATTTGCTCACAGTAAAGGTCATCTTACATCTGTTTATATGTACTCGCTAATCCTTGGCACCAGCTTGGTCATAATTAATTTGTGTTGTTCGTTGTGACAGCAGAATGGGAGAGCGGCGGCTCTTCAGGGGAGTATTTGTTGCCGATTGTCTGCCGCTGCAGTCTAGCTGCTCTTCTGAAACACACTGGACTACAGAATGAGGCATGCTGGGAGGACAGGTCAGTTACATAAATTAATCAATAATTTCATGAAGTGGTAATGGATAAACCCCATTTTGAAGGTCCTCGTTAAAATGATTTTTATTACTGAATGACAATGGTTAAACTTTTTTTTTCTCTTATTGAGGCAGATACGAACCCTGTGAGATGATGATTGATGTCTATGAAATGGTTTATAAAATCAGAAGCAATCTGTTGGTCCTTAAAAACTCTCCAAAAATAATGCTGACAGCCACCAAACAGGTACAATTATTATTTATTTTATCAACAATGCAAGTAAATGTATTTATTGTGGTTATTTTAACAAGTTGTGAGTGCAGATGTTTGAACATAACAGTTCAGATTTGCTGAACACGCACATATATACACACATTTTTTTCTGTTTTTGCTTTCAAATCACATTTTCAGTCTCAATGATAATCTGTGGAAAAACATGATAATTTTATCAAATAAGGGATGAAATCTATTCAAACCAACCTGGCCCTATCAAATACCTTCACCATTTCAACACATGCACTCATACATGCACATGCAAGAATTGCATCATGGGAGAATCCCAAAGCTGCTTGATGATCTCAGACTTTTGAGAAAATATTTTGTTGACTGGTGAGATAAAAGTGGAACTTTCTGGAAGATGTTTGTTTCATTACATCTGGTGTAAAACCTACACAGCATTTCACAAAAACATCACGGCGGTGGTGGTGTGATGGTCTGGGGCTGCTTTATGTTCTTGATGACTTGCTTTAATTGATGGAAACATGAAGTTTGCTCTCTAGTAAATGAGGGTCAATATCAGTTTCCACATAGGGCCACTTTGGTGTGGATTAATACATTAATAATAAATTAAATCTATACATCAAAACTGCATTTTGGATTCGCTCAGGTTCTCTTTGCTTGGCATAGACAATTAGCCATAATCTGAAAGCAAATCATTTATACCAACATTGTGATTGTTTTTGTTCTGCCTTTTACACTTCCAATCGTTGTGCAGTTTTAAACAATTTTAATCAATATCGTACTTAACATCAGTTTTATTTAGGTAAAACAAGACATAACGATAGGCTATTTCTTTAAATTTTAGAATTCCCAGTCTCCTCAGAGTCCGGATGTGGACAGCCAAGAGCCCAGCGCCTCAGCGGAGCCTTCAGGAAAAGATCAAGGACAGCATGTAGGTCACTGTAACAGAGAGGTACAAGTGCCTCCACTCGCCACAGCCAACTACAACCAGGAAGAACTCACAGATGATGACAGATTTAGCAACAGTCGTACATACCTGTCAGGTTAGGATTCTTTATTTCTAAGCTTTAATGGTAGCAGATATACAGATTTGTTTTTCATAAATGAACTCACATCAGAACTCATCATTTCTTTGTTGTTTTGGTTCCTGCAGAAGTTTTAGAATCACTGATGGCTACCCGGGAAGCCATGCAAGTACAGCAGAATGTGACGGTCTACGAGTCATTTGGCACTTCCACCCTCCCCAGCAGTATGGAGAGTCCCGTCAGCCCAGAGTCCCATCAGCCTTATCCTAAACAACAATGGGAAAATCCTGGAGAATCCGAGGAAAGTTTGTCTTTTCCTGCTGCCTGCCATCTTGTAATATCTCGATGTCTTTTCCTTCTGTTGGGGGTCAAGCCTGCTTGGGTAGAACCAGCTGAAAGGGAAACTGTTCCAGCAATGAATACTGTAGCAAGGTAGAGTGTGTGTGTGTGTGTGTGTGTATGTGATGCAGTTTGAATTTGGTTGACTATTTTGAGTGTTTTGTTAAACTATTAAATATTTGCATCGTCTAGTTTCAGAACATCAACAGACTTGGTTACAGTCAGTGGAAGAAAACAGGTGAGTCTTGTGTGAGAACAAAATGTAACCCTGCAGCTCCTACTCACTAAAGTATTCAATTCTTGTACTTTTTAGGTTGACATGTCGAAAAACCCCTCTGGATCGTCCAAAAATAAAACTGGTAAGTGGATGAGTTTACAGATTCATTAATTTAAAACAGTTAACTGCTCTGTGAACAGCTTTTCGTTTAATGTTATCTATAAACTACATTTAATGTTCTGCAGTCAAAACAAAAACAAACTTTTTTCTTTTAATTTCTCCATCGCAGGCCTACCTTTGTGTTCTTTGGGGATAATGAAGGATGCCTGGGATCGCTTACGGCAGTGCATCAGCCCCCCCTCCACCATGCCCCGCTGCGGGGACAACACTTTGCCGATTCTTAACCAGGTGTTTCAGTTTGTCTGCGTAAGCGCTGTCCATTTGCCTTCTTCTCCAGCTCTGTCTGGAGGACCGAGCTGCAGCCTGGCAGATCCAAAGGCCATCGCTTTAGCCGTGCTGCAGCAACAACAGCGAGCTGAGGTATTTCACGTGCCTTTGGCATAATGGTGAAGCAGCATTTACATGAAACAAAACAGTGTTGGTGTTTTCACACATCACAGCTGATGCTGTAAAATGTGCAGTTGGTATTGAATCAGACAATTAACTTTTATCTTTCTGATCAGATGCGCCTGGAAGCCTTATGTCAGATGTCATCCTTCCTGTCTAAGATGGAGGAGAAAAACGTCCGATCTTCAGCTTCCCATCAGTTTCCTGCTCTGTTGCAGTCTGTGGAGCTTCAGTTCCTCTCAGGATGCTTCGCTTTGGGAACACAAATAATCACTTCTAGCTTTGGAGCTAGTTACGAGACTCAGCATTACCTGGTACATTCAGTAATCACACAGCAGACTTTTATTTTATGTGAGGATTGTTGGAAGGAGTCAATATTTAATCCCATCAAAAGGATTGCTAAAAAGTGAGATATTTGTGTTTATTTCATAATGGTGATTTCTCCTTTTCTGTTTCTAATTTTTATATACAGAGTGGCACTCATGCCGCTTCTACAGAGGCAAAACGAGAACTCCAGTCTGCAGCTCAAACCTTTTACCAGAAAGTGGTTCAGGTCCTCAAACACAGAGTCCAGCTAGAAAAAGAGCATCCAGGTATTTTCTTGACTTTAATAATGATTGCCAAATAAATACCCTCGATGAAGTTGCTGGTATAGTTGATGTGGCTTAATATCTATATGTTTAAATTTTTTTTGCAATATTTTTCTTTCTTTGACTCACATCTACATCTTTACTAGCTGCCTTGTAGATTTATGTTCATTCTGTCACTCATTCAACAACTTGACCAATTTAACTTGAGCTTTTAAATGTTATCTTTTATAACTTAGCCTGTAGTTGTTTGACATGCAACGTCATCACTAAATAGTTCTGATCAGACACCTTTTTTGCTCCTTGTTGTATATTTACCTCAATGCAGATTAACACAGTTAAGTTTTCTAACAATGTTCATACCATGACCATTTTGCATAAATCTAAACTTTACAACCTTAAAGGAAACTTGGTTTCATTTGAACACGTTTTATTTCTTCATCTCTGTCATGCTCAGGTTCATCCCAGCACCTCCTCCTGGCTGCACTGTTTGCACTGAACTTCTGCTACCAACCTGTGGATCTGGTGCTGATCATTAAATGTGGGATTCTGGAAATCCTCTCTACGTTGACCAACAACAGCTGCGCTCTGATGAACCAGGGCTGGTTTGCAGCTGCGTCATCTGGATCAATGGTACTCGAAGGGGCGGTCAGACTAGCTTGCACCCGCCTGCTTCAGATACTGACTGTAGCTGCAAGGTGAGAAAGATGGACTAAACCTATTTACCCTTATTTGTCTTGACTTTATTTTTGTTTTCTATTGCAATTTTTTTACAATCACATTATATTCTCAGCTCTTGTGAGGACTTTTTGCCTTTGGATGTATCTCATGCTCTGATGGAAGTGATGTGTGAGCAGCTCCAAAATGTCCTGCACAAGTTCCACCAGCAGCAGATAGCCGAGAGAGCCGACGTCGACGGCACCAACAAGAGCACAAACCCCGGTGTGATAAAGTTATATATAATAACTTTGCTCTTGTGTAACTTAGTAGCCAATGACTATATCTGTAGAGTGTCTGCATTAGGTAGCATATTTTAATTAATATCCATTTCTGTGTTTTTAGGAACAGAAAGCAGCAAAGTGATTGAACATCAGCTTGCAGATTTCCTGGTGTTTCTGAGGAGAGTTTTGTCATTAAGAGTAATGAAGAGGCTTTCTACCTTTGAGAAATGGATTGAACCACTCATGACCATTATTTCACACAACTGCTCTTCAGGTAAAATAGCAAATACAACAATACCAAGTGTTTGGATAAAGTGCTGAACCCTTTTCAATTCAGTTTAAACCACTGTTCTTGTGTTCTCTTTCTGTATTTGGTTTTTAGGATCGTTGCGCTTCCAGAACCTCCGCACTAAACTTTTGGCGTTTCATGTTTTAGAACGAGTATTACCTGCTTGTTCTGAACCCGCTCACATTCAGCAGGTAGGATTAAAATGCAAAAGTCACAAAGCAAGTATAATGATTAAAGAAATAAATTGATCTTTTATTCCTGTTTTTCTGTTTTCTTTTAGATTGTTAAACAGCTTTTCCAACTGTTATCCGTTTATATGTGGGAGGAACCGCTCGCAGAGAAAAACCAAGAGAGAGTTGAAAAAGACAAAGTGGTAGTACACTTTTTTTTATTAAGTTAGAAACACTTGTGCTCTGTACTTTAAATGTGGAGGCTGTTGTAAGTCATTCTCTGCTTTATAAAGGTTGAAAAATGATAAATTTCATAATTTTACTTTTTATTTTTATGAGATGTCTTGCAGTAAAGCCCCAAAAGACCAGTGCAGTATCCAGTTTTGTGTGAATATTGTATTATAGCACAAGCTAACTCAATGTTTTATATATATATATATATATATATATATATATATATATATATATAGCCCTTGTGAAAGAGGTATTGATTTAGCTTTATTATCAACTTAAATATAAGTTAAATAAAAAAATAAACAACTTACAAAAAAGAAGCAAAGCTAAAGTTATTGGGGAAAAACAAACTTAAACAATAATCATTTGTAGAATAATTTGATGACTATGACTGTAATTTGAGGATGCCAAAGAAACAGGAAATTATATTTAATATTTATTTAAATTATTGAGAACATAAACAATGTTTACAAAAACAATGAAAAACATAGTTTATGACAATCAGATGTATTTAAATTTTATTTTACAAATAAAATATAAAAGAGTTGGAAATAAAATGTTAAAAAAAAGCTCAACATAAAACATCACTAAGACTTTTAAAAAATGTTATTCTGTTATTTCAAATGTCTGTTGTATATTACTTGTTCGTATATTACAAGAATATCATGATGGTAACATGTTTTTTGTAGTTTTTCATGGTGCTAACATTTGAGTCTCACACATACATCTGCAGATTCCTGGTGGTTACGATGAATGTATCCCTATTGGAGATTTTTCCTTTGATCCAAACAAGCTCGTGTGCTGTTCTCTGGAGAGTGGGAACATCCTCTCACATGGCTCAGGTGGCAAAGGTTACGGCCTTGCAACCACCGCCATTACCTCTGGCTGTTTCACATGGAAGGTAAACGTATCTTTGTCAGCCCCCCCAGTTCGGCAGATCTTTAAATGTCTTTGTGTCTCATCCAACTTGTGTCTGCAGTTCTACATCACCAAAGAGAACAGAGGCAACGAGGGCACGTGCATCGGCATTTCACGCTGGCCAGTCAGAGATCACAACCACCACACTACCACTGACATGTGGCTGTACCGTGCTTATAGTGGCAACCTGTACCACGGCGGAGAACTGGTCCGTACTCTTCCCTCTTTCACCCAGGGGGACACCATCACCTGCATCCTGGACATGGAGGCTCACACCATATCGTTTGCTAAGAATGACAAGGTTAGAGGAGAACTTTAGCTTGTGTTGATGGGTTTTCTCTGATTGCCTGTTTGATGTAGTATTTTTTTTTAGGAGCCAAAGTTAGCATTTGAGGGTGTGGTTGCGTCGGAATTGTATCCGTGTGTGCTGTTCTACAGCAGTAATCCTGGAGAAAAGGTACCTCCGCATCTGCCCACAAATGCTTCTTGTCTAATATTAATTATGGCATTGTATAAGGAAACCTGAAAGTTCAAACTGTTTTCTGAAAATATCTTGGGACACAGGTGGCACTGCGTGAGCTGCAGATGAGGGGCATGCCTAGTAATCTCCTTCCCGGAGAGCCTCTGTGCAGCCCTCAGACCACCGTGCTGCTGGAGTCCACGGTGCAGCTCCTTCGGAGGCTCAATCAGTGTGAGCACTGGTGCTCACACATTAACCAGCACATCCATTCTCACCTGGAGCTTATCGGTGTCCTGCTGAGAGAGGATGATTCAGGAAAGGATTCAGGTCAGAGGCAATAGACATGTCAAAATCACATGGCGATTCCTGCTGATTCTTCCTCACTGCCTTCTTTTCATGTTGCTGTCTCTACCCATTCTGCCTTTCTCAGGATCCTGTGTTACCTTTGTCCTGTTGGTTAACATATTTCATTTTAAAATGTTCAATGTTACATTTTTAAAAGCATTATGTATATATATATATATATATGTATATGTATATATATATATATATATGTATATGTATATATATATATATATATATATATGTATATGTATATATATATATGTATATGTATATATATATATATATATGTATATGTATATATGTATATATATATGTATATGTATATATGTATATGTATATATATATATATATATATATATATATATATATATATATATATATATATATATATATATATATATATATATAATAGGGCTGCACGATATTAGGAAAACCTGCGATATTCGATAACAGTGATTAATATTGCGATGACGATATTACTTGCGATAAATAAAAACTAAACTCAGGAACAAAAATAATCAAAACAAATAAATAAAAAATCATAAAAATGAGAAAAGCAAAAGATGTGAAGGAAGGGAAAAGGAAAACGATCAAGAAAAGGCAACCAGTGGATCTCGGGAAAAGCTGAATCAGCAGAAAGAGCAGAACAAAGCTAACTCAGGTGTTTGCTAACCATCAAACTTAAGTGCCATCCGCCTCGGGGGCGGCCATCTAACCTATGAGAACCCACCCAGTTGGCCAAATGGGTGAAGAGCTCCATTTAGTTGTTAGAAAAAACATCATGCTTCCATTTTATTGACAGAATGCGTTATGTGTAGCAAACATTTGAGCTGACCATTCATTGCGATATTTATCTGTTCTTTGCGATATGCATATTGTGCCTGCTGATATTGCGATAACGATATATTTACGATATATTGTGCAGCCCTAATATCTAATGTGTGTGTGTGTGTATATATATATATATATATATATATATATATATATATATATATATATATATATATATATATATATATAATCTCTGATTTCTCAAATGTGTCCCTTTGAATCTAAATTTGTTTTGATTTTCTGTCTTGTGTTAAATTACAGGACTCAGCCCCCAACACAGTGAGAGAGACAAAGACGGGTCTGGTGAAGAGCCCAGGGAGCTGGTGGCTCATCGTCACTCTCTGTCAGAGGCCAAGCTGGTTGCTCTTTGCACCAAAGTGTGGCCGGTTCTGGCTGTGATCGGAGGAGTCGACAGTGGTCTCCGAGCTGGAGGCCTGTGCCGACACAAGCCCAGCGGGCGCCGAGCCATTCTACTCGGGGTCCTGAAAGAAGGAAGCTCTCTCGTCAAGCTTCAGTGGGAAGAGACTGATGTCTCCGTCAGGTATCAGAAACATTTATCCCCACGCCCACCTGCTCACGATTAAACATCTGCACATCAGTTTCTGAAATGACGATTCTGACTAACCTTCATGAAACGGTTCTTTTATCCAGATTTTCTCATTGTTGCCCCTTTATACTATGTCTCACTCTAATTCCTTTTTGTTACTGTTTTTCCTTTCTTTCTGTGATTTCTCTAACATTTTGCTTTATTTTCACCATTCACACCTCCTGACCTTACCTTCTCCTTGTTCTTCCTTTTTGCTCTCGAACTCATAAATCCTCCTTGAATTCTCCCCGATGTCACTCCATGCTGTATCTGTGGGTTCTTCCCATCCCTCCCAATAACTAAGCTCCATGAATTCTTGGTCACCCAGCGACACACCGATCTTCTCGCTGGAGCCCTGTGGCACATCCTGCTGTGACATCACCCGCCTCGGAGGCCTCAAGCCAGCTGTGCTGTTGGATCTGATCTTTCTGTTGGGTCTGCTGGAGGAGGAGGGCTGGATGGGGGCTCATCCACCTCCCAAAAGGAAATACTCTGAAGAGACTGTGAAAGAGGACGATAAACAGTGCTGTCAGGATGAAGATGTGTCAGATGATGGGAAAAGACTGTCTAAAGATGAAATAAAGGCTGTGAAGGAGCAGAAGTCTGAGAACGACTCGTTTTTATCAGCTTCATCATCCAACAATACCCCAAAGATAGCAGACCGTCAGGAAGTGACCTGTTTAACACAACCTCCCCAAACATCCCAACCCTCTAAAGTGGAGGCCTTTGCAGTTGTATTGAGAGCAGTTAGAGTCTCATATCTTCTCACTGGAGGGTTGAAAACCCTGACTGTAATTTTTACTTGTGAGAAGCTATCAGATTTACTAATAGTTCCTAAACCTGACCCTTCAACCATCTCATCGAGTCCTCTTTCCAGCCCTTCCCCCGACCAGGTCAAGGCCTACAGTAAACAATGGGATGAAAATGCCGAGCTGAGATCAGTGCTGCAGTATGTGGTGCAGAGCATGGTGAAATGGGCAGTGAGACCCTGTCCCATTAAACAAACCGTGTCTCTTGCGGATTTGGAAAGAGCTCAAGTCATGATATACAAAGGAGCCCTGAACAGACTGCAGGAGGACAAAGAGCACAGAGGTAATTAGATGATGTCCCCTAGACACACGATCTTTACTTATGCAGACTCGAACCTACCTACGCTGAATTTTTCATGTTTATTGCAGAATCAGGCCGTCATTTGTCCTCCCAGTCCATTTCTAAGTCCTCCAGCTCGGTGTCGTTGTACAGTGCGGGGTCAGAGGGTACTGCCATCTTCGGCCAATCAAACAGAGTCTCTGCCTCATCCTCTAATAACGACTTGGCAACCTCTCTGGCGACAAACCTGCAAGTGGATGGTCTAGATAACTTCAACCCGTTCCTCCCCATCAGCCTCCTTCAGTAAGTATAAAACTATGACCACAAATTAGATTCATTTTTAATGTAATAAATGATAAATTCGAGATCATGGTCTTGAGTTGGAAAAGGGTAGAATACCTTCTCTGGGTCAGGGATGAGGTCCTGCCCCAAGTGGAGGAATTTAAGTATCTCCAGGTCTTGTTCACCTGTGAGAGGAAAGATGGAGCGGGAGATTGACATGCAGATTGGTGCTGCGTCTGCAGTGATGCGGGCGCTGTACCGGTCTGTCGTGGTGAAGAGAGCTGAGCCAGAAGACAAAGCTCTCCATTTACTGGTCAATCTACGTTCCTACCCTCGCCTATGGCCACGAGCTTTGGGTAGTGACTGAAAGAACGAGATCACGAATACAAGCGGCCAAAGTGATTTCTTTCTGCTGGGTGGCTGGGCTCTCTTTTAGAGAGAGGATGAGGAGCTCAGTCAACCAGGAGGGGCTCGGAGTAGACCCGCTGCTCCTCCACATCCATTTGAGGTGTCTTGGGCATCTAGTTAGGTTGCCTCCTGGACATCTCCTTGGTGAGGTTTTCCGGGCACGTCCAACCAGTAGAAGACCTAAAGGAAGACCCAGGACACACTGGAGAGACTATTTCTCACCGCTGGCCAGGGAACGCCTAGGGATCCCCCAGAGGAGCTGGCCCAAGTAGGTGGGGAGAGGGAAGTCTGGGCCTCTTTGCTTAGGCAGCTGCCCCCGTGACCCGACCTCAGATAAGCGGAAGTGAATGGATGGATGGATGGATCGATAAATGACAAACGATAAATGACCAATACTTGTATAGTGCCTTTCAGAGGACCCTAAAGTGCTTTACACTACACTGTATGTTGGGCACAAACACAACTAACAGATGTTATTGTTACTGATCGCTATGGGCTTGAATCTTTTTGGCAGCAGCTGCAATTCTGATGTCCAGGGAGCGGGTAAGTCGGGAAGTGCTGTGGATCATAACGGGGTGAGAGGTTTGGCCTGCTCTGCCTTTACCTCTGGCTGCAGCTGCCTGCGTGTTCTTCTAACCCGTACTGTTGTTTTGAAGAAACCGACAGCTTCGGTATGTTGGAAAACAGAAACGACAAATTCTCTTAACAGAGGAAATCTGATCCTTTTGACAGGAACAGACTAAACTTCTGCACCTTTTCTGACTACAGTTGGATACCACAAGAAAGAGGATGATTAAATCAGGTTGGAATAAGCATCTGGATATTTGATGCCTCCAACATTTGAGGATTTAACACTGCCAGTGTTGCGTGGCCTTGCTTTCCTTGTGTTATTATTTACAATGCTGTATCCGCCCCCTCTAGGCACATGGTATTGAGTCGGTTCCCCACACTAACGGGCCTGGTTAGTTCCCCCTCTGTGCTGCACCCCTGCTTCAGCTTTGCCAGCTCTGCTTCTTGCGATGCCTTCACAGAACAGCAGACTAGCTTCATGGAACCGGGCCCGAGCAGCACGCAGGCCAGAAGCAGCCTGGGTAAGACGAAGACGAGTCAGAAACTAATCGAGGCATTTTCAAAAGGAAAAAAAAAACATCTTACAGCATAGTGAATATATTCTCTCATATCCAAAAACCCTTGTAAAGCTAATTCAAATGTATATGGGTACAAAAAGGTGTAAAGTGGATGAAATATAGCTGCATGCTCTTAAACGTTGAACCATCTGCTGCTCAAAACTGCATGAGTTTTGATCTGCTAATACATAAACGCATGCATACACTCACATGCTTGAATGGCACATTTTTGTCATTGTCCAACATTGGAGCCATTTTAAACCATTTTAAAAATGTCACAAATAAAATTCTTTTTTTCAATGATAGAAAAGGAACAACAGGATTTATTATTTATTTAGGATAAAAGGCTAAAATAAATGAGAGGTTTTTCGAAATTCAACCAATGAGAATGTTACAATATAAAAGATTAGTGAAACTAGAGTGGTGGGCTTGTTTTTGTTTGTTTCCTGCTTTTTGTGTACCTGTTATTTTCTCCTCAACCACCAGAACGGACACAAATGTTTGTCACCAGTCGCTTGCTAGAAATGGGATTCTCTATGAGACATATCTACTGGGCCATGGAGGCAGCAGGTACAGCTATGTGTGGTGTGTCTGTCGCCACTTTTGTCTTCGTGTGCTTTGCTGTTTTACATCTTGAAACCATTGTGGGTTGGAACACTCATATGACTAAGCAGAAGAAGACTTTGTAATTAACTGAAATGAAGCTTTTCTTATAGGATGGGTTTAAGGCAGAGTTGCCGACTGTAGAACAAAAATATAGATGTTTTGAAGACGTTTTATGGCATCGACATATCATAAGTAACTTCCTCCTGAATCAGTTTTACAAACATTTTACAGATTTCTAAACCAGCAAATTTAAAAGAATCTCATCATTTCACAGCATGGTAAAAAATGCATGCCACAAAAATAAGTATTACGTGCATGTAAATTGGTGAAAGTAGCTGATCATTTTTATATATGCTCATACTTCAATACAAGCAGATGATGCTTGTTTATTTCTTGTTAGAAATAAACAAATGTTGTGATCTTTCTTCCTTTTTTGAGTTAATCATCTCTGCGGATCATCCCAGATGTTGCAGGTGACTTAGACTCTCAAACCATTGAGGTGTTGGCCAGCTGGATGCTAGAGCACCCCCTGGCCGATGACCAGCAGGTAGCTGAGTCACCAAGACCCGAGGGTGCTGCTGAGACCCCGTCCCCTGATGGGCCAGAGACGGTGCAATGTCCTGAACGGCCCAGCAACCAATTCAATGAAAGGTAGGACACATCAGAGGATTTTTATAGTTGTTTGTGTTATAAAATATGCTGAAGGTTTGATTTGTTTGCAGCCTGTTGCCAGGTCTGGACTGGATAGAGAGGGAGAACTTCTTGGACGTCCACCTCACTAGGAACAGACCTCCTCCAGCACGGCGCCGCCGCTCAGGACCTACCCAAAGAACGTCCTTCCGAAGGCCAGGTCAGAGTCACACAAGTGTAAAAACTTTAAAAAACAAATAAAAAAAGTTCAAAACAAGATATTAAATGTGCTTTTCGATTTGAAACACTGTTTTTAGACTTGCCGTCGTCACCCAGCCCCCTTCCACAGCTGTGCCAGCAGCACACAGTGGTCAGTGACTGGCCGGAGCAGGTAGAGTTTCATCCCTACTCTGCTGAGGAGGATTCTGAGCTGGGCTACATGGATGACCCGTATCATGAAGAAACAAACGAGGACCTGCTCACCGCTTCGTTTTTCAGTTTGGAGAGGGACACTCTTCAGATTGTGGAGGTGACACAACTACATCGCGATTGGGAAACATGAATTAAACAACATCTAAATTTGATTATCATAATATACTGATCAGTGATATTTTCCTGTAATTATCTGTCACATGCTTTTGCTTCAGGCTGGAGAAGAACACAGTCAGATGGTGAAATGTGAGCTGTGCAACACCTTCACTCTACAGTTTAACAATCACATAAAGCGGCGACACCCAGGTTGTGGTCAAAGTGCTGCCCGTAAGGGCTATGACAGCACCGGTGCTTATGTGGATGTCTGGTTCAAAGGAGAGTGTGGCTCCAACTTCCCCTTCTACCTCCTCTGCTGCCCCTGCAGAGAAAAGTACCTGGCTTCTAATATGAATGATCCACACTCCAAATCTGAACGGTACAGCAGATGCTCCATATGACTCATGCTGCATGTAAAGAAGAATCTGGTGGCTGTCTGTCTTTATCACATTTTATAAATGTATTATTATTGTGTCTTCATTTTGCTGCAGAATCAAAGGTCTGACATCTGATCTGATTGGCCAAATGGACAACACATCAGATGGTAGGGAAGGTCGTATTTGTCATAAATAACAACATAAATCAGTTATTTGCGATTTATCTAAATCAAAAACAATATTTTTGTTTATTCAGATGACTGGGAAATGTGCCACCGTGATGAAGATGACACAGACAAACTGACAGGACTGGAGGATTTTGGGGTCCTGCTTAGACCACTGGGGCTGATGGAGAAAAAGCTGATACCAGATCCCATTATCTTTACTGAACCAGATCCTCTTGGAGCTCTAGTTTACAGCGTGTCTCTTCCTGCAAGAGCATCTGCCAAAAGTATTATTTTCTTCTTTGCTTTCTTAAATTAATAAGATCTTTCTTTTTAATTTTCTGAATAAGTAAATTTTATTTATATAGCACTTATCACAGACATAGAATCATGAAGTGCATCACATAGATCAAAACAAAATAAAACAAAGTCATAAAATCATAAATAGTTTAACATCATAAAATCAAAATGCTCTCAAAACCGAATTAGATTAACATCAGAAAATATAAAGTCATACAATTATAAATTTTCATAAACAGATGAAATATTTAAAATTTGAGTTAAAAATAAGAAAATAAAAGGTTTAGTTAAAAGCAGCTTTAAATAAAAGGGTCTTAAGTTGTTGTTTTTTTTAAGTGTCCAGACTGTCTGCTGCGTAAGGATAAAGGAAGATCATTCCAGAGTCGGGGTGCAACAGTCTGGAAGGAGCGATCACCTCGGCTTTTGTATCTGGTCTTTGGAACTTCTAGAAGGTTCTGGTGTGTGGACCTGAGGGCTCGGGTTGGAGCATAAGGCTTCAACAGTTCAGTAATATAGGGAGGAGCTTGACCAGGTAGAGCATTGAAAGTTATAATCAGGATTCTAAAATGAGCTCTAAAGTTAACGGGTAACCAGTGGAGAGACATTAGAATAGGAGTGATGTGTGCTCTTCTGTTTGCTCCAGTTAGGAGCCTCGCTGCAGAGTTCTGGACCAACTGAAGACAGTCGAGGGCTTTTTTGTAAAACATATGAAAAGTGTTACAGTAATCTAGACAGGAGGAGATAAAGGCATGGCATCTTCTAGCCAGCTGGTGATAGCTGATAGACACTCTAGTAATTCAGACAGTTTATAGAACTCAGAATCCTTAAAGGAGCAGTACAGCTGAATATCGTCTGCATATAGGTGATAAGAGACATTATGAAAAGAATCAAGTATCTGTCCAAGAGGGTGCATATTCAGCAGATACAACAGTGGACCCAAAACAGAGCCTTGGGGTACCCCACAGAACAGATCAGTAGAATCTGACATGATTTGGTTTATACAGACACTGTTACTTCTGTTAGAAAGGTACGATCTAAACCAGTCTAGAGCAGTTCCAGAGATCCCCACCGAGTCACCAAGTCTGTTAATTAAGGTGCTGTGATCTACAGTGTCAAAAGCTGCAGAAAGATCTAATAATACTAGCACTGTGAATAACATGCACGCTAACTTCAAAGTCTGTTAAAACTAAATTTTAGAAGGTCAGATCACATGTGTCTTGATGGTTTCATATGCAGACTCACACTTTAAAGTAGAAAGCAGATGTGAATTAATAATTTTAATTTTAAGAAAGGTTTAAATGGAGATTAGCTAATTTTTATCCTTAGACCCCTTGAATGCTATTGTTGACATTTGGTTAATGGTGCACCTTCACAAGGACACAAAAGGGCCCTCTGTAGCAACTACCCAGACCTGTTTCTCAGCTATTTAAGCTAACTAAAATAAAATCTAGAGATTTAGATATTGCAATTATTTCATTAACACACCTGGACTTTACACAGGTGAAGCAATGAAGGTGTAGCCATATCTCTTCTGCATTGTGCGGGTTAATGCTGAAGGATCGCTTTGACACTGTTTGTCTTTGAAGATTAACAGATGCTCCATTTATTCTGACAAACTCAGTAAACGGACAGCGAACAACAGAGGACGGACAGATCTCAGGAGGGACAAACAGTTTATAAATAAATAACTTTTTATATTTGACATACCTGACAAACTCCGTAAACACAAAGGCTGGCCTGGCCGCTCCAATTACAGAACACAGTTTGTGTAATTATGGAAAAAAGAAACTAATTTCATCCAGTTACAAAGACGTACGAGCCATTAGATGGCAATAACTTGTTCATTTCTGGACATGTGGGGCAGATCATTTACTTTTTTATTGTCATGAAACGTTGGCTTCAACAAGCTCTTTTCATGACCGTTAACCATTGTATTTGGTGTACATTATCAGCTGGAAACCTTTAACATTTTGTCAAAGTCAAAGTTGATTTCTGAACCACATTTTTAGCAGTTCACACTGCTCTAAAGTTCTGTACAACAAAATACAAACAACAAAAACAGTAAAGGACTAAAAACATTGTTAAAACAACAAGAGACACAGATTAGTAGTCCATCCATCTTAAGACCCGTGGCCTTGTCACCACGGGTCTTAAGACAAGATTTATGTTGCTGTCCTTCCTTTGTCTACTTGTGCAGCCTACATCGCTGCATGTGTTAACCATGCTGATAGATTTTATTTTGCAGCGATTCAGATCCATTTGACAACTTGAAGATAATAACAATAGTCAATAAGGATGTGCCGTCTTCTCGCTCCCCAGCCAGACGCTGGGGGTGGGATCTTGAGTGCGTGACATCAAGCCAATATTTGTAAATTATCCTTTGTAAATCAGACACATTTGGTCATTTAGTACCTTGCACTGGTATTATATATTTTATATGACTGAGAACTGTAGTGTGCTGTAAATCACATAACTTATTTATTTTGTTTTGTTTTTGCCAGAAGCTTTCTTTTGTTTAGTTCTGTATAAAAAATAAATAAAAGTAAAGTTTAAATGCTCTAGCCCATCATAAGCTCACCATAATTCAGAACTGTATACTGAGTTGATGGGATCTAAAGTAATTTACATTCAGTGTGTGTTGGCAACATTAACGACCAATTGAAATAGTTTGTGTTTGTCTTTTTAAAGAGATACTTTGCAACTTAAAATTTTCTTGAGCCAGTATGAGCAAAAATGACCCATTAAAGGGTTAATGAAAGGCCACCCAGCCCCTATCACCCCCTGTGGTCAGAATATTCCACGTGCAACTTCAGAGTGGCAAGCTGCTCTTATGGGAAATTTAGAGCCGACGTACCTGGCCCTGCTGTCTGGTTGCAGTATGTTTTCTGCATGTTTTAGATCACAAACACAGCTGATTTGTTTAATTTAGTGATGAGCCACTTTTGTAGACACTAATGAAGGCTGGGAAGACATTTCAGCTGTTGGATTAAGGTGTTAAAAAGACGAACACACAACGACAAAACAAGTTTTAATTTTGGTTGTACAAACGTACACTAGGGGGTGCTAAAAGCATTCCAAAACTGCATAGTTTTCCTTTTAAAGTAAGGCTCAAAAAACAGGTATAATTTATTTTCCCCTTTGTCATTTTCTCACCAGGTGGTGCCCTTGCTGACCACAAGACATCACTGAGCCTTGGGCAGCAGGCGGTATCTCTGAGAGACTCGCACGATCGCCTGAAAGCTTTACGAAGAGTCACATCCACGGCACAGATTCTGTTAGCTTACAGCATGGTGATGAGGGCTCTGTCTCAGACCGCCTCCAGGTAAATACTTCTACTGTTGCCTCTGTCTTCCTTTGATTAAGTGGTTTTTACCAGTTCTTTCCTATCCTACGTTCTAGCTCATCAGTGAGCAGCCAGTCCAATGGACTGGAGTCTTTGGGGCTGGCGGACATCCGTATCCTGGTGCGCCTGATGACCTTAGCTGCTGGGGGCAGAGCGCACACCTGTGGTGACAATCAATCATGTGTGAAGGGATTGGTGACAGAACACAACAACTCCACCTGCCTCAGCTTTCTGACCTCTGCTATTGGCAGCGTGGTGTTTCACAGCCCTGCTGCTTACAGGCAGCTGGTGGAGATATGCACCCAGGTTAGTTTTCATTAGTCATGATGCAGATGTCTGACTTATTAGTTACAGCTTATGGCTGCTATCATGAATCTATATTAAAATATTTTTAAACTGAAACAGCTGTTTAAGTCATCACCTTGTGATAGATGCGTATCAGATTTATTATTCTAGGCTTTCATCTCAAAGTAGCAACTCAGAAAATGTATCTGTGGAAATGATCAGATCTGTGACTGAAACACTGAGACAAATAACTCTTTGTCAGTAAGCACCAATCAGAATAGCTGTAATAGGAAGTCATTGTGTTAGTGAGGCTTCTTCCACAGACATTATTCAGTCTGCTGCTTTTTTATATCTTGAATGGTAGTTCTGTTGACAATTTTAAAGGATATGATGTGCTGACCAATCACAAAGTTTTGCTCTACATAGCATTTGATGGTCACCCTCTGCAGTGCCATCATCATTTGTGTCAAATGATGATGGCATCTTTGCAGCCCTGCAGACGGAGAAGTATATACCAGGCTTTAATGCTAGATGAGAACAACTTGAGTTCATATGCCTTCAACATTGCAGCAGAACCTGCGATGGCACACGCACATTGCGATGTTGATGCAGCGATATAAATAAACTTCAGGGCTCAAAAACTTTCTTGAAACTTGAAAATGTTCTCTGCAACAGTGCAGAGTTGTGTTGTTTTACAGTAGTGAATAACTTCAATCATGCTTTAGTTGCCAAACGTAAAAGAAAACAAATTAGTAGTTAAACATTTCACTCTGTTTATGATCAATTCCTGCAGGACCTAATGGCAGCAGCTACTGGGGAGAACAATGGAGCAATTGCTGAACCTCAGCAGAGAACAACTTTAACCACTGCGACCCAGGCAGTCCTGAACCAGAGAGACCTTAATGACCAAACACCACCAACATTTCTAGTCACACAACGTCTGGTGTCCCTGCTCACTGAGAAGAGCATCAACTGTAACAGCCCTGATAGAGGAGAACACGAAGCAAATGGTGAGAGTGGGTTATGCTTGAATCATTTAGTTACATGCGAGTTTAGCTTAAGAGAGTGTCATTTATCTTTTGTCTGTGTGTTTTTGGCCTAGATGGAAGAAACCCAGGCATGTCTTCCTCATCTCTGCCTCCCTCCCCTTCACCTCTTCTGAGTATCAGAGTGGGCCCTCTGGAGCTGGCTAATGCGTTAGCAGCATGTGTCCTTTCTGCGAGACTTAACAGTAAACACAGACAATGGGCTGCTCAGCAGCTGGTGAAGGCTCTGGCAGCTGCGGGCAGAGAAAGTCCTCATCGATCTCAAACATACAGCGACCTGGCAGGTGATCTGAGAAAATGTCCTCTTAAGAGACTTGAAGGACATTACAACAAGGTGAGTTTTCTAGGACGTGCCAGTAGATTGATGATTGAGGGGAGAGATCAGAAGTCTCCTTGTAGTTACAATGAAACCTTTTGTTTTTTGTAATACAGGTAGCCTGCTGTTCCTGGAGCAGTGAGCAGAGTTTGCTCGCTACATGCTCTCAGGACAAGGTGGTGCAGTTGTGGAGAGTCAGCCAAAACACTGTGGAGTTACAGACCACCTTCTCCTGCATTGCAAGGTTATATCTGCATGATTTAGCATTGTTTTTTTTACAAATGAACATTCCTTTACATGTTCTTAAAAAAAGGTTGGTTATTGTCAAAGTAGCTGAATTTTTTACACTTGTGCTTATAATCCAATGTTTCTCTGGTTGATACTTTACAGTAAGACGGACAAATCAAGCGGTGAGAGGGCTGGCAGATGCCACCACACGTCCCCTGTCTACTGGAGCAGTTCGGGGAACATTCTGGCCGCCCCTGAGAACAAACATATCAACATCATGAACATCAGAGGTCAGTCGATTTTTACCAGAGGCTAATATTTATTAGGTTTTATGTGAAATACAAAATATTTCTGATTGATTTGGATTTGATATGTTGGTATGCACATTAATTTAAAGTGATTTAATTGCTTGAATACTCGTATGTTGTGTTAACTTATTTAGAATCACTGTAGCTATTTGTATTTTAACTTTATAAAATAAGATTTTTTAAAATGTTATCAAGACATCATATTCTAATCATATCACCATCATCAGCACCAAATAAGAATAATTTCTGTCCCATTTCAGGGACTCTCTGTCACATTGAAGCCCAGAGTTCTCGGGTCACGGCTGTTTGCTGGGTGCAGAGCTGCAGCGTGTACTTGGCGGACCAATCAGCAGCCTACAAACACAGATCTGCTGAGAGTCTGCTGGTGGGACGGCTGGACGGCTCCCTCTGCTGGCTGCAGGTTACAATGCAAGATCTGGATCTGCTGGTGAAGAGAACTGAGCTCACCCACTGTTACAGACCAGATGGTGAGGAGAGAGGAGCACACTGTTTAAAAACAAACTGCTTACTTCAAACATATAGGAAAAATACAATTCATTTTTATTATTGTCTGTTGTTACTTAGCCCCCCACTGTGTAGCCTGGCACACAGAGGACAAGCCTTTTGCAGTGGGTTATTCCAGTGGGAAGATCCTTTTGGCCACTGCTGAGACGTATGAGAACACACAGTCTGTAGTGATGTCACTGTTCCAGGTTTGTCACACACAACGTGTTTTACTGTAACTGCAGATTAGGAAGGCATTATAAAAGTACTCTGATACATCTGGTTTTTATTGTTTTTGTGGTGCTGCTATGGTCATAATATAATCAGCGTTCAGTGTTCTAGCAGTGTTTCCCTTACATAGGCGTAGCCGCGGCGGACCGCCACAGCTGAAATACCAGCGCCACGTCTGCAAGATCCCATTTTATAGATTTTTAAAATTTAATTTAAATTTTTTTTTTTGCGCTGTTTCCCGAAGAAGCAGCGGGAACTACTGTGTTGTTGCTTGTGATCACAGCCAGCAGGCAGCAAGGAGGAGCAGGCAGGGCAGGGTGGTTACAGCTAGGGATGAGCCGCGGATAAAGCATTTTTGACGAATACGAGCATGAAACGAGTAAAACTCGTAAATATCTGTAATCGTGCTGAAGAAAAATCCTCATTGGGTAACTGACTGCCTTCACGCTCTGTGATTGGCCAGTCACATAGAGCGCCCGCCCCTCCCTTCACACAAAACACTGATCCGCCCCACGCACACACACAGACAGTAACGGATCTCTCTGTGCTTGCTTCACTGTTGCTCATGTTTCTTCAGTACTCCTAGGTTTTCTTCAGCTCGCCTCTTTTTCGGTTGAATATTTAAAGTTACTTTTTTTGTAACATACGTGGTGCATTTGACAAGACAGAGCTGAAAACGGCTCGTGCATGCGTCAGTCACTGCCTCCGCTCCGGTCGGGTTATTTAAAATTATTTTAACTCTCTCTCCCTCTCACACACACACACACACACACACACACACACACACACACACACACACACACACACACACACACGCACACGCACACACACATCAACATTGTTTTGTTTAACTGTGTGTGGGGAAAAATACCAACAACGTTAGGAAAAAATCTGTTAAATCAAATTAAAATAAAATAAAAAGTTGTCTGGTTCTAGTATTTCATATTTCCTAGTTCCTACTGCATGAGTTTAGATGCATTAATTCATGCACTTAAATATTAATGTTCTGATTTTACTGAAAAACTTGTTCTTTAATAGTTTCTTTACTATTGTGATCAAAAATATTTAATCTCAATTCTGAGGCAGCTCTGGAAATAGTTTTCAAATAAACAATAGTTTATAAATAAACAACTTCTGATCAATCCATGTCAATTTCAGATTTAAAATAATGTACTGATGTAAACCGCACCCACTAATTTCCAAATAATAAGGTGCATTCATCTGTGTATCTCCTTTGATCCACATTAGTGATATTTTCAGCACCAGAACAATGAAGCAAAGACACAGATTCCTGAGTTTATGTTAGTAATTTTATTTATTACTATAACTATAACTGACCTGTTCTATTTTTCTCTGAAATGAGATCAAATCAGTGCTTCTATGGGTTGTCTCCTCTCTGCACTAGAAAAATTTACTTTATTATAATGTTCACTGCAAGCATCTTGATGTTATTAACAAATAAATTAATTCAAAGATATTGTCAATAATGCCAAATATGTAAATTTGTGTTTCAGTCATTTTTATACTGGCTTAAAAATACTTCATTAAGTAGAAGGTGCAGGGGTGTAGAAGGTTTTTAATAGGGCCAGCCCAGTAATGATCTTGGACCAAAATAAAGGAGGCAGAAGGAGATGTTTTTCCAAATGCCAAGAAAAATTAAATGCCAAATCCCACTCTGCAAAGTGTGTCACTGAGTTTAAAACAAAAATTATTCTGTGCAAATATTGGTGTATTCACCTTTAATACTAGTTATTAAAATGCAGCAGTTGCTGGATTGGTGCAGTTCAAAGTGGAGTGCATCAAATAAAACAATATTAACATAAAGGTGAGACGTGGTTTTTTTTTTTTTTTTTGGTTGCAAGACCCATGACGTGCGACTGAGCCCAAGCTTTCTGACACTGACCAGCACATTTTTCTCTAGAATCCCTTGATAGTCTTGAGATTTGATCGTACCCTGTAGAGATTCAACCCTGTGCCAAATGCTGCAAAGCAGTCCCAGAACATAACGGAGCCTCCTCCATGTTTGACAGTAGGAACAGTGTTCTTTTCTTCATTTTTCTGTCTGTGAACATAGAGCTGATACGCCTTGGCAAAAGGTTCCATTTTTGTCTCCTCTGTCCATGGGACATTCTCCCAGAAGCTTTGTGACTTGTCAGCATGTAGTTTGGCATATTCCAGTCTGGCTTTTTTATGACTTGTTTTCAATAACGGTGTCCTCCTTGGTCGTCCCCACGTAGTCCACTTTGGCTCAAACAATGACGGCTGGTGCGATCTGACGCTGATGTTCCTTGATCTTGAAGTTCACCTTTAATCACTTTAGAAGTTTTTCTGGGCTCTTTTGTTACCATTTGCATTATCAGTCTCCGATTTGTCATCAAATTTCTTCCTGTGGCCACATCCAAGGAGGTTAGCTACTGTCCCATGGATCTTACATTTCTGAATAATATGTGCAACTGTAGTCACAGGAACATAGCTGCTTGGAGATGTGACCTTTACCTTTAACATGCTTGTCTTTAATTTTCTTTCCAATCTCAGACAAATCTTTCCTTCATTTCCTCTGGTCCGTGTTGGGTGTGGTACACACCATGTCACCAAACAGCACAGTGACTACCTGGAGCCCCATATATAGGCCCACTGACTGATTACAAGACTGTAGACACCTGTGATGCTAATCAGTGGACACACCTTGAATTAACATGTCCCTTTGGTTGCGTTATTTTCAGTCTTTTCTTGGGGTACCATCATTTTTGTCCAGGCCTGTTCTATGAGTTAATTAAAAAAAAAAAATCTGTAAAAGCATGGTGGAAAAGCAATGTCTGAATTTCACAGGTTACATTTTATAGAATGTTTTATTAATTATTACTATTGTTAGATTACGATTATTTCTGGGACCATCGTAGGTTTTTCTTTTATCGACACAACACTTTTGTCCACGTCTGTAAACCAGCTTTACTAAAGAGATACTGTATATCGGCCAATGCTGTCATACAAAATATGGTAAAAATCAGTTCGATATCATCTACCCCTAGTTGGGTGTTCTCTTCCATATTTATTCCACAATCTGTCTGTACCAAATGCCATTTATTCATTTATTTTACCGGATATGTTATTTCTTTAGGACAGTGTGAGTTCCCTCAGATGGGACCCGACTGGACACTTGCTTCTGTGTTTGGGGAGATCGGAGGTCGTGAAGATATTGGGGCGTTCTGGGGGCACCTGGGTGACCCTGCACACACTCTACCACACCAGCACTGTAAACATTGCAGAATGGTGCCCGCTTGCAGGCAGAGCGCCCAATCCCAGGCTTATGATGGCTGCGTGAGTTTATTAGTTACTATTTTTTTAATCTCCAGATCTGCAACAACAAAGACCATTCAGTTATTGGATAAATTAACAATACATAAAGGATTCCATGATAAAATCACAGTGAAGTGCCTTTATTCATGTCCACTTTCCTAATTGTCTCTCATGTTTTTGCAGCGGCTGTCAGAATGGCTCTTTGCATGTTTGGACACTACCGCAGGGCGGTACTACCGTATCTTTGCCAAACATACTGAACAGCCCCCCAAGCCAGGATAAGAGCACTGAGGTCCAGGTAAGTTGTTAGAACTCTTCTTGTAGCCCTGGAGCCTTAATATCAGTTAATATCAAAATGCTTGAAATCATACAAATGACGGAGCTCATGAGGTAATTTGCTGCTTCATCATTTTGTTTCAGGATGGTGCAAAATGTGTCTTTGTTCTCCACGGCCACATTACAGCCGTGAAATCCCTTTCATTTTGCTCCAGTGGCCTGGCGCTGGTTTCTGGAGGAATAGGTGGGTTGCTGAACATCTGGTCTCTACAGGTAAGAAAAGTAACTTTTAAACTTCCTGGCCTCAAATCAGAGTAATCACCACCTAGTCTTTTACTGCATTTGTCTGCCTTGTACAGGACGGGTCAGTGTTGCAGACTGTTACAGGGCTCGGTTCAGTCGTCAGCACCACCTGGATACCAAACCTAGGTGTGGCTGCTTGTTTTGGGCGTTCTAAGGTAATTCTGTTCCATTTCTAGCCTTAATGTCCTTTTGATGTTGGTGTTTATCTTTATGAATGTCGTTTTCCAGGATGTTCTGCTGATCTGCTGCACCCCTGACTGGATCAATCAGAATCACATGCTGGCATCCTGTCGTATGGCCCTCAGAAGCCAGGCCATCTTGGGGCTGAATCGGGCTCCGTGTTTGGCTGTCTTCCTGGAGAGGCTGCCCTTACTGCTGCAGGAGCAGTACAGCTATGAGCGGGTCATTACCGCTACTGTATTTTAAAAATGTTGCATTTTTACGAATATCTGCTGAGATTTATAAATTTCTCTGAATTCTGTCATTTCAGAGCCATGTTTCAGCTGGAGAACAGCTCGTCCACAGTGCCTTCCTGCAGAGCCTGGCCTCCCTGGCTGTTGGTCTGTCTTTAGAGAAACACCTGTGCTGCTACCCACATCCTCCACACCACATCTGCTCCAGTGATCCTCCCTGCCTGTCAGAGTGGAGCTGGCTGTTGAACTATGCCACTACTGTCCGCAGCGCAGAGGCTATTGCCAGCGGGACCGCCTTCCCTGAATCTTTTATTGCTTCTGAGTTTCAGGAGGTGCAAGACTCAAACACCATGAGAGCACTAGTAAGTGTTGCTGAGATTAAATTACAGGAACATGAACTTCCCAGGAGTTCAGTAATATAATTTGTCTTCCAGGATAATAGTAAGTGGAGTTTCAAGATGGATGAACAGCTGATGTCATGGGCCACCAGCAGACCGGAGGTAGCATCATGAGAAAGTAACTGTCAGTTTGGCAAAGTGTATGGACTTCATCACGAGAGTCTGTTCCTCGTAGGACTGGCAGGAAGGAGGCAGGAGTGAGGTGTATCTTTGGGGAAATGGACGCTACGGACAGTTAGCAGGAATGGGAACCAACCTCATGATGCCGACGCTGGCCCCCTCTCTGTTACAGACACAACAGGTTGTTACTTTTTTCCTCTTAAGTGTTTTATTTATGTGTGCAAATCACTGGTTTCATATGTTAGTCTATTTTGTGTTTGTTTTTTTCTCAGGTCATATGTGGTCAGAACTGTACGTTTCTCATCCAGTCCAACGGGACCGTTCTGGCTGTAGGTGAAGGGCAGTATGGTCGGCTGGGCCAGGGGAACTCTGATGACCTCTATGTTCCAACTATTGTCTCTGCATTTCAAGGTACTAATAAACCAGCTTTGCTTTTCTTTTATCCTCAGTGTTTTTGTGCAAAAAAGACTATTTCTTTTAAGAAAGTAAGAATGCTAAAATGCTGGCTTGTAATTTTATTTTCTTATCTGTGGCCAGGGTATGTGGTGACCCAGCTGGTGACATCGTGCGGCTCAGATGGACACTCCATGGCCCTGACTGAAACTGGGGAGGTGTTCAGTTGGGGAGATGGAGATTTTGGAAAACTGGGTCATGGCAACAGTGAAAGACAAAGAAGACCCAAACAGATAGAGGCTTTACAAGGAGAGGAGGTCATCCAGGTGAACGTCAAATGAAGTTCTGCATCGTAATTATAGAAACCCAAGATCACAGGGGAAAACAATCTAGCTTGTTATGACCCAGGGGTCTAGGGTACCTAAGGCAACAAGGGGGATGCGTCCCAACACTAAAGTTTATGAAAGACACATTTTACAGAAAGACCTAAACATTAACTCAGCTGCAAAACAGAAATACATAAAGATGTCATAAGGCACGCTGAGGAGATGACAGGCCGGAGACGGGCATCTCAGGTCTGCTGATCCAGAAGTTTTTTTTAAGCTGATGGCATTCTCCCAGCTGCTGATTGTGATGCTCCTTGATAGGCGGTACAAGGTGAAACCAGGTAGTGCGGGAAATGATGGGTGCAGACTGCAAGGAAGAGGAGGTGTAGTGCTGAAGAACAGCTCCTTACAATTGCTCTGTCTGTAATTTGAAAAGCTTGATCCCAGGCCAAGAAGTGTGCCAAAAGGGTGTGCATTGTTTATTTTATTGCACAGAGAATGTTAAAATTTAAAAGGCACATGTTGACAAAAACACATTTACACAAACACACACCTGAGTGAGACAGGTTCAGTTTCCACGAAGATACCAAAGTGCAGATTCAGACAACCTGTGCCTCAGAAGCAACAACTAAATCCACAGCAGGAACAGTTTGTTGGTTTTGGGCGTTTGACTCAAAGCATCACATTCCAAAATGCTTCATGAAAAAGAGAGGTTCAGTTTTACCTGAACGTTACAAATGTTGCATGAGCACGTGTTAAAATTCAACATTTTCTGCTTGAAATATTTTAGCTGTGAAGATAAACTCATCTGTGTTGATGGTGATTTAGTGTTATTTCAGGAAAATGCAGTAAAGTGTGGCCTTTCAAAGCTCATGGTGGAACAGAGCAAGAATTGTTTTGTGAAGGGTTTCTATTAAATTTGATAGAATATTCCACATATGCATGTGCCCAGAAGCAGGTTTGAGGGTATCTCTTTATTGTTTTAATAGGTAGAGACCCCTCCAGAATATAAGTATTTGTTAAATGTAGAGTGTTAATGTGACATTTTAAATTTATGCTAACTGTCTTTCATATTTTAATTTTTAAAAGTGATGAAGACAAACAACCTCATTTCTTTTGTAGATGTTGTCTTTGTATATTTTAACGAGACTGCAGTGTTAGGCACAGACTTGTGGCTTTAAAGCTGCTGTGGTTTCTAGTTTAAATAAAAGTCTCATGAGTCGTTTTCTGTGGAAACATGCTCTAGCGCTCCTGTTGCAGATGGTTGAAGATAGTCCGAGGAGTTGGGCGGGCGGAAAATGACGGGATGATGAGCCTTACTTGTTAACATTCATGATATGCAAACATCTCATCTCTTGATTTGCCAGCAACATTGCAACTCTTACGCTTCTTTCGTTCGCTCTTCTTTCTTGGGTAAAAATGCAACATTGATGTTTTATCTCTACACATTTTGTGGAGTTGCTAACGCTAACGGTTAGCTTCTGATTGGCCGAGATGCTCTCTCTTGACTGCAAAATCCTCACGTTCTTCCATGTTTGCAAATCAAGATGGGCGAATGTGCCCTGTGACGTAGAAGAGTCTGGCTTTTTCTTAGCCAATCTTTTCTCCTGTTTCCTTTTTGCACCTGATGTAGGCAATAGGGGTTTTTCATGTTCCTCATGCATGCACTCTCAGAGTGACCAATCATATTTTAAAGAGATTCAAGATCATTTTGTTGTCATTGCACAGGTGTACACCTAAATTGACTTTGCGCTTACTAAAGACAGCTTATGTAAGGAGGTAGTAAAATAAAATAACAAGGCACGCACACAGTCAAAGGTGCAAACATGTAAAAGTATAAATATAAACATGGTAATAAGACAAATCTTAAGTTTAAACCAAAAAATTTAGTAAACACAATATAAATGTAAACAGTCAGGATTAGCTAGCTAAATCTGATGGTGCTGTAGTGCACTAATTGAATCACTGTTAGTGTGACCTCCTAGCAGCAACATTCAGTTCAGGGAGGGCTCTTGCATAAAAGCTGTTTCAGTCTGGTGGTGCGGGTTTTTATTACCTTGTATCATTTACCAGACAGAAGAAGTTTGAAGAGATGGTTAGCGGGGTGGGTTGAGTCCTTTAGGATGTTTGTGGTTTTAAAAAATAAATAAAAGAAAAAGTGTTAAATTGCTTCTCAGTGAATGAAACTTTTTTATTTTGATTATTCTCTCTTCTTTGCTTCAGCTCGCTTGTGGCTTTCGACACTCTGCTGTGGTTACAGCAGATGGGAAGCTCTTCACCTTTGGGAGTGGTGAGTCTGGACGTCTGGGTCTACGGTCTACATCCAACAAGATGCTGCCTGAAAGGGTGGCTGCTCTCGAGGGATACCATGTTGGGCAGGTATGAAATGGAAATCTTAATATTTCAGAATGTCCTCGAGAGGAAAACAGTCACTTAAAATCCACCTTAAAATTCTCAGGTGTCGTGTGGTTTGAACCACACGTTAGTGGTGTCGTTGGATGGCATGGCTGTGTGGGCTTTTGGAGATGGGGATTATGGGAAATTGGGAACCGGTTCCTCCACAGCAAAGTACTATCCTCAGGTGTGTTGACTCCAACAAACTACAACAAATAAGGAATACAAAAAGTTTAATGGGATTACTGGATTTAAAACTAAAACATTACTGGAGAGTTAATGTTGTCTTTATTTGTTTTTGTCATTAGAAAGTGGAGCAGCTTTGCAACAAGGGAATTAAGAAAGTCTGTTGTGGGACTCAGTTCTCTGTGGCTCTGGCCTGTGATGGACATGTGTACACATTTGGACAAGGTACATTTTATTGTGAAAGTCAGCTGTGCAAATTATAAAATGTATCACTGAATTTAAAGACGAACTGAAATGACGTCTTTTTAAAGCCTGAAACGGTAAACTGTTCCAAAACAATAAAGCATGAGGTCAAGTCTGTAATTTACCATTAAACTTAACCTTTGAATCAGTGTTTTGAAATCATGTTTCGTCTTTATAGATTCTGAAAAATAAAGTTTTAATGGGAAGTTTTATTATTCTCAATAAACATTTTTGTAGTTTTACAACCTCTAGAGTCGTAATGCTCCACGTATGTGTGCCTTTTAGAAAGGGAAACATGTCGAAGCTATTTTACATACAGCAAACACATTTAATGCAGATGAATTCTTTCTTCATGCTCTTCATCCTTCAGAGCGTCTGATCGGACTGCCAGATTCCATGCTGAAGAACAAATCAAACCCCCAAGTGGTGCCATCCCTTGAGGGCCTCTTCATAGAGGACATTGCTGTGGGTTGTGAACATGTGCTGGTTTTGTCCTCCACTGGAGACGTATTTGCATGGGGCTGTAACAGTGAGGGACAGGTAACCAGCACCAGAGCATAACACACTGGGACAACGAGGACTGGGATCAGAACTCCTAGGGATCCTTTTTGTTGCATGTGTGTTTTCCAGCTTGGTCTTGGACATTCCAATCCAGTGAAGGAGCCAACCCTTATAACTGCTCTGCATGGCAAAAACATCAGACAGATCTCTGCTGGTCGCTGCCACAGTTCAGCATGGACCACCCCCTCCGTCCTGTTGAAAAGCTCAGGTACTGTCCAACAGCATTTGTGTGCAAAACACCCAGTTGTCTCATTGAGGAGAAACAGCGGTGTGTCTTCATGTTGTCTTTGTTGACAGGTGGTCCTAGACAATTGCAGCTTGGCCTTCCCCAGTCTGTCCCCCCCCAGTACAACACTCTGAAAGACTGCAGCCCTGATGTCCTCAGCGTGCGCCTCAGGGTGCTCTACCAGTTTTCTGATCTTATGTACAAATCCTGGAGACTGCTCAATCTGGACACCAAGAATCCAGTATGTTTAATCCCGTTGCTGTCACTTAGTCAGTCTCAGGTTTGTTGCCATGGTAACACTCACGAGTTTGTCTTGAGGGCTTTGGTGTAGAAGGGTTCACTCACTATAAAAGTCACTGTTTAAAGAAAAAACTTTTGACAGGGGACAGATTTCTTGCCTTGTGGTTTTCTAGTGTGTGTTCTGGTAATGTGAGGTTCTGGTTCTGGCAGATCGCAGCCTGCTGTAAGAAGGAAATGGCTCAACAAGTTTATCTTCAGGGTGGGAAGTGTCAGCAGAAAGCTTCTTTGTCTGCCTCGAGGTCTAGAGGTGTACATCTCATGAAAGTTGGGTGGCTGACAACAACCAATCACCATCTCAGCAGTTTGTCTGATTCCCTGCAGTCCCTCTTTTAGGCCTTTTCCAGCAGCACTACACAGATGAACTCGGACTGGTACAGCTCGGCCTGGCCACCTTTTCTAACAGCATGGTTCAGTATTTTCCCTCTACCCTTTCCCGGTGTTTTAGTCCCTACTTCAACTACGCTGAGTCGGGCCAGCATCGCAACTGTGGCCGCTGACTGGCTAGGGGCCAGAGTCGCCGGTTTCTCCGAGCTCTCATAGCTGGCAGGGAAATCTAACCACACTGTGATGAACTGAGTGAACCCACGCTCGACTGAGCTGTTTAAGGCTGAGCACTACTGTTGGAAAAACGGCTTTTGTCTCTGGCGGTGGAACCAGCATACCGGACTGAAGTGGTGAGGGTTGATTCAATGATGGATGTGAAGATTTGCACCATCATTGACTTTGGTAGGCTGAGCTGCTTCAGATGCCACAGCAAATACATCATCTGTGGTGTTTATTTATTATTTTTAAGTAATGGAGCTTATGTTTAGCTCCCTCTTTGGGTCTTGGTAAACATGGGTTTCGGGAGGTGGGAGGACGTTTCCTGCAGCCCACAATTATCTCCACTGTTTTGACAACACTGACTTCCAGATAGATGTCCCTGCCGCATGTAGCCATACTGCGGATCTCTGCTCTGTAGGCATTCTAATCACCACCAGAGGTGAGACGGAGAAGAGTTGAGTCTGTGAACTTCAGGAGTTTTGACAGACCGGTGAGCAGATGTGCAGCTGTTTGTGCACAGGGCTTAGAGAAGGGGAGAAAGTACACACTCTTGAGGAGAACCAGGACTGATGGTCAGAGACGTGTGTGTGCCTAGCCTCACGTAGAAAGTCAGGGCACATTCAGCTGGGATGTCTGTAGTCTCCGAGGCTTGTAATCTTTATAGGGAAGGAGATAGTGCTGGAGGCAGGCAGGCACACGACAGGTGTCCAGTGTGCTGTAGAAGATATCAGTGAACACTGAAGATGTTTAAATCTATTAATATTTAAATATGTTAACACAAATATGTCCACACATCTGCTGTTTTGTGTGTTGTCTACCCCACCCGGTCCAGATATCCACTTCACGTTATAGTTCTGGAACAGCAGCCATTATCCGGGGTGAGCTCAGAGGCCTGCTGTCACCCAAGGTCAACACTCTGCCTCTTGTCCGCTCAATCGGCAGGACAATGACCCAGGGCAAAACATATGGGCCACAGATCACTGTGAAACGCATTTCCACAAGGTATGGATGATGACAAAACCTGCATGTCTTCAGGGCTCAGAGGGTGGAAAAATGGCAGGATTTGGTCAAAATAGTCGGCTAGAATATAAAAGAAGTCCAGATTTAAGTTTTTACATTTTTCTGCATTTTCATTCGTTCCTGCAGAGGACGTACGAGCAAGCCCATCTTTGTGCAGATTGCAAAGCAGGTGGTGAACCTGGACCCTCTGGAGCTGCGGCTGCCATCACGAGCCTGGAAGGTGAAGCTGGTTGGGGAGGGGGCTGACGATGCCGGAGGAGTGTTTGATGATACCATTACTGAGATGTGCCAGGTAGGATGGAAAGCACTCAGCTCAGAGAGCCATTCACATTAGACTCTGCTGGCTTCATCACGCTCCTCTATGTTTGCTCCTTTGCTCCAGGAGCTGCAGTCTGGTGTGGTGGATCTCCTGATTCATACTCCCAACAGCTTTGCAGATGTGGGCTGCAACACTGACAGGTGCACATTTTTGGTCTTTCATATATCAAAGAATATGTTGTTTTTACATTTGATCGTAATTGACAGTGGCTGCTCACACTATTAGGTTCCTGCTCAATCCATCTGCAAACTCAGAGGATCACATGATCCAGTTTCGCTTTTTGGGCATCCTCATGGCAGTGGCCATTCGAACCAAGAAGCCCCTGGATTTGCATCTGGCTCCATGGGTGTGGAAACAGCTTTGTTCCATGCCACTGAGTGGAGTTGACCTTGAGGAAGTAGATCTGCTCACCTACCGCACGCTTCAGGGCATCCTTCACCTGGAGAACAGTGAAATCACTGAAGAGAATTTCCATGTGGTGAGAAGCTGAACTTGTTCCTTATGGTGTTTCTCTATCAAAATTAGGGTTACTCTGCTTTACTCTTATTTTTTTTTTAATCACAGATGATCCCACTGGATTCATTCATGGCCCACAGTGCAGATGGAAGGCTGGTGCCTGTGGTTCCTGGAGGTCTAAACATCTCCCTAACATTTGCCAACAGGACTGAATATGTGGAGAAAGCTCTGAACTACAGACTGCATGAGATGGATGCTCAGGTTTGAATGTCTTAAGTGCAGCCAATAGCCAAAACTAATACTGAGCACCAACGCTAGGTAGATCCTGTCTTATTCAATCGATGTTTCTCTTTTTTTGGTTTTAGACTTTTTAAGCCATTTTTTTGTTTTTATGACCCACATAAGTTTCACACTCGGAAAGAAAATACTCTTGATGGGTTTATTTCTTTAAACAACAAAAGAATGCTCTCAGATATGAAGGGCCAGTTCACCTGTAAGGCAAGTGAGTTTTCTCCACAGGGTGGCTGGGCTCTCCCTTAGAGATAGGGTGTAAAGCTCGATCATCCAGGAGGGGCTCAGAGTAGACCCGCTGCTTCTCCAAATTGAGAGTAGCCAGTTGAGGTGGCTCGGGCATCTGGTTAGGATGTCTCCTGGACGCCTCTTTAGTAAGGTTTTCCATGCTTGTCCAACTGAGGGGAGGCCTAAAGGATGACCTAGGACACTAAAGGGACTATGTGTCTCAGCTGGCCAGGGAGCACCTTAGGATTCTCCGGGATGGGAAACAAGGGGCCTCCCTGCTTAGGCTACTGCCCCCGTGACCCGGCCCTGGATAAGCGGAGAATAGTTGATGGAAGGATTTAACCCTTTGATGCATGAATTATGAAATCTTCAACCATGATTTTTTAAACAATTTTTTTCATTCATCTTTAGGTGTGAATGAAACAAATTTCATATTTACATATTTTTGTAACATTTAATTTACAAATAATTTATTACATGTCCACCTCAGTGGACAGCGTGCAATCTGAACATGAAATATGTTGTCTTGACTTACTGAAGTCCAAATGGAGGGACTCAAATGCAATAAATTCTTCAACTGCTGTGCTTAATAGCAAAAATAAATAAATAACAATTTTGAGTACCTGTCCACTGTAGTGACCATTATGCATCAAAGGGTTAAGCTGAGTTTGTTCTGTTCTGTCCAGGTGGACACAGTCAGAGAGGGCATGTCCACTATCATCCCTGTGCCCCTCCTGTCCCTGCTGACAGCCCAGCAGCTGGAGCAGCTGGTCTGTGGCCTGCCAGAGGTCTCGGTGGACATGCTGAAGAAGCTGGTGCGTTACCGGGACATCACCGAGAGCCACCAGCTGATCATCTGGTTCTGGCAGAGCTTGGAGGAGTTCACCAATGAGGAGCGGGTGCTTTTCCTACGTTTTGTTTCTGGGAGGTCGAGGCTGCCTTCCAACTTGGCTGATGTCACACAGAAGTTTCAAATCATCAAGGTTGACCGGGTGAGGAAATTGGACTATAATAGTTACCCACAATGCTGCTTTGCTGGCAAATATCATTAAAAATGTAACCTTTACTTTTTGTTTTGTGTCTTCAGCCCATTAATGGGCTCCCCACTGCTCAGACATGCTTCTTCCTGCTTCGCCTGCCCCCGTACACAAGCCAGGCCATCCTCACTGAGCGTCTGCGTTACTCAATCCACAACTGTCCCTCCATCGACATGGACAACTACATGCTGACCCACAACACGGACCCAGCAGACAGCTCAGACATGGACGACTGAAGCTACAGACTAGAGTGATGAATGTATCTACTCTGATGCCACAGGCATCATGCACTGAACACAGATTTTTTTTTTTTGTTGCCAAATTTGGATGGCAACATACTGTTTATATGTTGTTTATTTAAAGTTATGAGGTCAGATTTTCTGACTGTGCACGGTGTTTGTAAGTATTGCAGTACTCCTACAGGGAAAAACTATTGGATTTTAAAATAATAGCTGACTAAGCCACAATAATAATAGTTATGTGCCTGTTGTTTGAAAATATGTAATAATTTATTGATCTGTTACACTTATTATAGCCATTATTGTAAAATAAAAGGTGTTTAAATAACCAAGTCCATCAGGAGTGGGTTTCTTTTGTGTAATATGGCTCATACAGGTATCTTCTCTTCTCCTCTGAAAAAGAATTGGTCTCTTAAAACACGACGGCAAGTCTGAACACGTAAAAACACAAGAGTCAATTTCCGCTTCCTGTTCTCAAGTCCCGCGTGTTGTTGTGATTATTGCACAACTTTCCAAGAAGCGCTCAGAGACGTGTCATGTCCTGTGTGACCATTTGACTTCCCAAAAGGCATCTGTCTCTGGTATGCATCAGGCTTTAGCCTCCTAACCTAATACTTTTTTTAACAAGTGGACTAAAAAACATCTCACAAAACATTGTTCTTCTATGTTTTTGCTGAGTCTCAGAAGAATAGCTATTAGAATACGACATGACGATCATAACCACATATTTAACATTTAGCTGCTGAACATCCGATCAGGAAGGACAACCCAGTGTAATGTTGTACAATTCACCATCTCTTGTAATCATCAGAACCTCCACCATCATAATATAATACTGGTCAAAAATGTGTTTTATTACGTTCACATCAGAACTAACTTCTAGATGAAAAAGGAATGAAATGGCAACAACTTCCCCATTATACAAAAATATCTTAATTCAATTCCTCAGAGTTTAATGTTGTCCTGAGTCAGCACAGCTGGTGTGTCTGCAATTTGTCCGCGCTAGTGAGATGCCTGCTGTGACCTTATTACCCATCTGTTCTGTGTGTGGCCAGTAAGGTAGAATTCAGCTTGCCGTCAGCAGCCTTGCAGCTGAAAGAAGGGGGGAGGGTTTCTCATGAGAAGCCTTGCCTGATATAAAAATAACATCCATCTATCAACCCAAATGACAGGTACACATATGTGGAAAGGCCATGGCAGGAAAAAGCAGTTTTTCAAAGATCTGGTGCAGCTTTAGCCGTGAGTCTACAGGGTGTAAGGCAGATGTGAACTTGGGTGTGTTGTGTTGAATCCTGTTTGTGGACACGCGTGTCATTCAGGCACAGACACACCAAACACACACGAAAAGAATTCAGACTGGCATTACATGCCCGAACAATGCAGTGCTTTTAATCTGATTTGGATCGCCTTGCCTAAAAGGGATTATCTGGATATGAAACGTACTGCACTAAGTCAAAAAAAATCTTACATTTGTGATCTCTATACATTAGTGCATTCTTAAAAGCAGAAAAAGTAAGGCAAAATTCAGTCATGAAATCAAAAGCTGCAGTTTAATTTTAGTGATTACCTCAATCTGCTTCTACATTTTAATGTAAAAAGCAAAACACAAATATTAAACCCAACAAAATCTCAAACGTAATCATAAAAATCCAATGAGATCAGTGTGTAAATTATTAAAATCATCACATTGTCTGAATTGACTAATCTTTGCCTTATAATAATAAATCAGCAGCGGTGGATGAAAAAGCAGCAATACCAAGTAACCCCACGGGATGGCGATCTGATCTTACACAAAGCAAGAGCTCTGAGGATGGGCAGACGTCATCACACACACACACACACACACACACACACACACACACACACACACACACACACACACACACACACACACACACACACACACACACACACACACACACACAGAGAGAGAGAGAGAGCTGAAAATGTATATCACTGTTAGCTGATCTATGTCATTGTTTCTTCCACTCAGCTGATTTGATTGCAACAAGCAGACGACAGCGTGCTGGGTGCCAAACTCGACGTGGTCAGGTTTCTTCTCTAACACACCGGTTCCAACATGAGTAAAAATCGACATGGTTCTCCCAGGATTCGGCTGGTACGGTAAAAATCAAACGTTTCCTCAGCCCCCTCCGGCTCAGCTGCAAAGCGAAATCTTTTGTGTCGCTTCTTCAACTAAGGCTTGTTGCTTAGTTTCAACTCGTTTGAGTGTAAATGTAAAAAGTTCAGAGAAATTCATGGGTACAAATCCATCTGCTTCTCCTCAGTCATCAATAATCCCAGTGGAAGAGCTCTAGGAAGATTTGGAGATCTGAACTTTTCGGTCAATCCATCATGTGTTAGTACAGCCTTATAAACTCCACAAAACTGTGACATCACCAGCTAAAGAAGTTCCTACACCTTCAGCAAAGCATCAGCTTCAGTAGGCAGCTGAAAAGGGAATACTTTTAGTGGTTCCACACAAACAGGATTTTTTATTGAACAGCAGGAGGTGAGCAATCTGGTCCTATTTATACTAACTTAAGCTTCATGTCTGATAAAACTCCCGGGAAGGTTTATTCCAGCGCAGTGTAAAGGATGCTTTGATGGATTGTCCTCCATTCTGGAGAACAGAGCTTTAGCCTGAGGTGATGGCAGAGTCATGGGAGACTTGGAGAAGGCTTTATGATCATGCTTCTCAAGACATTCAGCGAGAAGGGCAGAAAATGGACTATCTGGTCCATTCATGACCAAAGCAAGAGCTGGGTCCACTTTTTCATTAGAAGGTCCAGCTGTTCCCAGGTTAGACTCATCTATTGTCGCTGGTCCTTTGTGTTGTTCATGGTTTAGGTCTCAAAGCAGTTTTCAGGAGTTCTATCTGATGTAGTTCTTTTGGCATCCATGACCTTCGCTCGGCACTCAGGTGATTCACAGGCAGAATGCCCCCTCCAGATGTGAAATGAAGCAGAGGAGCTCGAGTAGTCTGGTGCTGTGCTCAAATAGAGTAGAGTAACAAACTCATGGATGAAGAAGGACCTGAGCTGAAAGATAAAGTTCTAACTTTCACCCTGTGCTCATGGGGTTGGGATCCTGGGTCTTTTTGACCTGAATGTCTTTGGAGGGACTATAAACTCTTACTTAGCTTCAGTAAGTTGCCCTTCTGCACCTGGTGCTTCCATTACCGGCCTTGGAAAACCCGTGGATGAGTTCAAAATGAATCTGCAAAACAAACTTTCAAACTGAACTCCAATAAAAAGGCAACAGGGACGCTGATGTGCAGGATAAGACTGAGCATTTACTTCAGATCTTCATTTAGAGAAAGTATCACTTCTGATAATTCTACAAATAGGTGTGTTCATGAATTGAAATAAAAGCCTGTATATTGTAAACCAGGTTTAATTTTTCCCCCATTTTAAATATGTTGAAAAATTTCAAATTACTTCCAGATTTTTTGCTCACGTTTTTCTTTTGTTGCTTTTTGATCTTCACCTGTCCTTTTACTCATTTTGATTTCTCATTCTGAGCTCTCTGGTTTTTATTGTAAACAGGATACTAAAGTTCTTCATGTTTTATCACTGCATTATTTACTATTATTATTGTTATTATTGATGTGTTAGTATTTTTGCAAAGATTTCCATTTATTTTGTTGCTGTACTATTATTTATGTCTGTAGGGAGTGAGGCAGGTCTCTCCTTCCTGAATTTTTAATTAGTCAAAGAAGGGTGTGACCTACATAGTCTCACTGAGACAAAACAGGAATGTGACTGGTCATCGGATCCCCTGCCAGCACAAATAAACACCCCCCGCTGCCTCCACCCCCAACCCCCAAAATGAGAGACAGGCTCATTTCATCCAGGCGGGTGAGAGGATGAGTGCCGCTGTAAAAACAAGGGCGGGCACTTGGCTGCGGGTCACTGAATTGCTGTGATGAGATGTGTGCCTGGGCTGTGTCGGGATTGTTTTGAGTAAACTGGCTGACATCGTCTCGTCTCTTGTTACGGGACAGGACAGCCAGTGTTTGACCCATGTACCTGAGAGACACACAAGACTCCGGTTTCAGTCACTGATGTCGTGTGGATGTTGTTGCGTATGCGCCAAAATGACAACGAGACTGCAGCGATGTGTGAAAGACAGGAAACAGGATAGACCTGAGGATTACAGTTTACATTACAGCATGTGTCTGTTCAGCTGACTGAGACGGAGTTAGTGAAAACAGCCGGCCTGGTGGATTGCATTTAGGGTTAGGTTTAGGTTTGTACTCGCCGTTAGCATCCTTCTGCGCTAACATGTCGGTCTCTACTGCCTCCGTAAACCTAAAATCTGTCAATCCGTGTTTTTGCCTGAGTTTGGTTTTAGGAATTATTTGCTTAAAACAAGCTGTTTCAAGAAGTCCCTGTTTGTGATGTCACAAGTGGGGGATTAGCATAGAACCATCTCTCACCTGGAGGATTTCAGAGCTTCTCAACTTACAGTTGCCAGAATGGAGAAGGGGCGGGCATGGCCTGCTCCAGCTTGTTTAACTAAAGTAACAGAGCCCTGAAATGACTCATTCTGGAAGGTACTGAAAATGTCGAGAAAAAAAACAACTGAAATTGCATTATGTTTTCTTTGGGGCTTGCTTTCAACATACATTTGTATGTAATTTGTGCTAATTGAAACATTGTGGTTTCCAGTAAAACAAATTGTTGTTTTTTTATCCCAAACTTTAAATTTTCCCCATATTGTCAACAAAAGTAAATAAAAAATAAATAAATGCACAAAACTCCCTCATTTACATTTTACTTTTTCCAAACAGACTTGTTTTTTGGTGAATATTTTTGGAATTGGCAATGTGCAACAGGTGAATACATCCGTGGCCAAAGGTTCAGAGAATGACACCCAACTCACCAGCTGTGGCAGTAAACTATATTATAATAAATATTTATTTCACCTATTTAATTTTATTTGAAACTGTAATTTAAAATGAAGAAGCAGGGCTGCGATAAGAGCAACCTTAAATGAATCGTGCTCTCTAATTGCAGTTTTCTCTGAATGGAGTGAAAAGCTGAGGGGTACAATGTGACTTACAGAGGAAAGAAACTTAGACCGATCTGATAAATAATGTAACAGTGTCTGAGGGGCCGACACAAGCTCTTGGGAATGATTGAAACGATGACTCTAACACTTCTATCAATATCAGGTGGACCTGTTTAATTCATCAACTTAGGTAAATCGTTGTCTGCTTAGACATCTGGTTTAGTGTGGCTGAAGGCAAGGCCGTCTCCAAATGTGGCTTCCCTACATTCATCCTGAGAGAAATGTAGCAGCCACTGACTTCTAGGAAAAAGGAAAAGTGGA